CGACAAAAATCGCCTGCGCGAAGGCCCGACAGGCGCTGGGCTGGCCTGCGCGAGCTTGAGGAGCCCTGAGATGCAGGCTGCTTTGTGGCGGTGCTGTTCAGCCTGGCCGTCTGCGTTCGCGTGGTTCTTCTCAGCCTGCATTCGCGTAGTGCTTCTCAACCTGCACTCGTGCGCAGCCGTGGATAGTGAGATACGGTGCTCCTCAGCGCGTTTCGTTCGAGGCTGAATCCGTTGATAGCAGTGTTTCGTTTGGACTTACATCCACTGATAGCAGCGTCTCGTTTGGAATGGACACAAAAACAATGTGCTGTCTCGTTGATAGCAGTGCCTCCTTTGCAGAGACATCCACTATTGATAGCAGCGTCTCGTTTCCATACGCATCCGTAGTAGTAAGTAGTAGTGTATCGTTCGAAGTTAATTCCATTGATACTCGTGTATCGTTTGGGGCGGAAGCCATTGATAGTAGCGTCTCGTTTGCACCTACACCCCTGCGTAGCAGCGTCTCGTTTGGAATGAACACAAAAATAATGTGCTGTCTCGTTGATAGTAGCGCCCATTCTTGATCGCATCGTTTCGCTTCCAGTCAAATCCGAACATGAATCTAAAGAAACATGCTTCCATATTTGCTCATACACATGGTTGTTAGGTTGCTTTGCTGGGATAATTTATTGAGTATGTTTGAGAATTGGTTTGTTGTGGCTTTTTCTTTTAGTTTTCATCCAAAATCCACCTGTAGGAGGACACGCCCGACCTAAAAAAACCAAAGGGGGCCGGCCGCTCCCTCCCCCCCGGGGCGCGCCCCCAGGGAGTGCCCAAAACGGAGTGCCACGCGTCGGTAGCGTTAAACCGATCCCCATCCCCATCCCCGTCTCCATCCAGTCGTCGTCGTCGTCGTCGTCGTCGTCGTCGTCGTCGTCGAAGTCGGCTCGCCTCCCCGTGTGCCGTAGTCCCAGGGGGGGGCACAGGCAGCGCCGACAGCGAAACCGCTGGCCCAGAGGGCAACCTTCGCACATGTCGGTCAGTATCGTTTAACCGCCCCCCCATCCCCACACCCGTCCCCCTCCAGGCCCCCGGCATCCTGGCACCCCATTAGGAGACACGCGCCTCGAAGCCCGCTGAGAGCCGCCCATATCCCCATTTCGGGGGCAACTCGGCCAGTGGGGCCCTGGCCACGCCGGTGGGGATGGGGATCGGCCTGGGGGCCGGGTTTCGGGGAGTTCTGGTGGCGGCGGCAGCTCTGAGTGCTCTCGTGGGGGGACGGGGTGGAGGCCTCTTCCCAGGGGGGCGCGTCGTGACAGAGCTTTCGGGCGGGGGCTCTGCGTCTGCTCTCTCCTCCGTCCCCTCCCATCCGTCCTCGGAGCAGGCGCCCGGAGAGGAAGACGGGTCTTGCGGCCCTCGGCAGCAGATTGCACTCAAAGCAGCGTCACGCGTCTCACGTCGGGTTCGCGCCGCGTCGGCGCGGCAGTGACCCCGGCGCAGGCGTTCAAGGTTTGCCGACGCCAGGGTGGCAGGGCTTGCCGGCCGCGGCCGCTTTGGACTCCCGGGGCCCACAGGGATTGTCGGAACACGACTCAGGACGAAGAGCTGGTCCCTGGGAAGGCCCCCAGGGGTCAAGGATAACGTCGGGCCTGTCCCTCTACAGGAGGAATATTCAAAAATAGTAAAAAATAGTCAGGGGACGATTTTCTGACAATTTTTGGATAGTTTTGGGCAATTTTTGATCTTTCGTGGAAAATGACCCGTTTCTCGCAGGAGCCCGTCTGATTCATGCCCACGCCAGGGAGGGATAGGCTCGGGGGACGAGGGGGTGCGTCGACGTACAGTCGCCCATCCATCGCCGATAGTCGGGGCCGGCAAAGAGGGTGGTGATGACTAGGGGGGGTGGATATCATGGCGTGGGCCATGATATTTCCCCAGATCTCATGGCGCCTCCTATTGATTCAGTACGTCCCTGGCCCCCCCCCCTGCCCCGCGCTCATGCCGCCGGCCATGATTTGCGACCCCCCCTGTGGGACGCCCCCCTCTTGGCCGAACCCGAGATACGAGATAGGGCCGCGACATATAGCACACCCCGCGCAAGAACGCGCGGTTTTGCGGTCGGGGGCCCATTTTCCGCGATGAGTCGGCGGTTCAAGGTCGATGCTTCTCCCCCCCCTGAGCTGGCCCGTGGTTCCCCACTGACCCCCCCCCGCTCGCTTCGGCATTCCCCCCCTCGTTTACTCCATCGGCACCGCCCAACTAGAACTACAGTGGGGGCCCATGCCAAGAGACACCCTGCTTGCCTCCAGGATGCCCTGGGCTTCTTGGGCTTCGATGGCTGTGTGATGGAAGGCGCGGCGTTCCCGCGCCGAAAGTCAACGGACGCCCTGGAGTCTCGAGGTTGGGCTTCTTGTGGAAGCTTTCTTGTGGTCGGGCCCCTACTTTGTCTGTCTATTTGTGCGCCTCCTTCCCCCCCTCCCCCCAGGGGCGCAGCCTGCGCTTAGCCCAGTGTGATTATGGTGCATGCTCGGCGGCGGGCGCTTCCTGGCCACACCGCGTGGGGCGTAACGAGCTACTGCTAAGTCGGGCGTGCGCCTCCTCGGGAGGAACATCCAACCGCAGCAGTTTCAGCAGAGCCTGGGGACGATGTTCGGATTCTGCTTTGCCCGTTCGGGGGCATTTCTGGGGTATTTTTCGAATGTCTTCCTCCAGAATCCGCCTGCAGGGGGGACGCGCCCGACCCGAATCTGCCGCAAGACGTCTGGCGCTCCGTGCCCGCGCCGAGCGCGCGCCTCCACGGGCAGCGAACGGCACCCGCACGCCGCGCCCCGCTCTCCGGGCCGCTTGGCACGGTCCAGTGGTGGCCGCGTGGGCGGGAGCTCGGGCCCGCGGGGCGGCTCCACGGGGGCTCCGCGTGAAGTCGGGCGCGGCCTTCTTACCAGAGAGGAGTACTCCAGCAAACATAGCCAAGGGGCAGAAAAAAGGGTCGGGGGAGCTCGGGCCCGCGGGGCGGCTCCACGGGGCTCCGCGTGAAGTCGGGCGCGGCCCTCCACCAGGGAGGAGTGCTCCAGCAAACATAGCCCGGGGACAGAACAAGAGGGTCGGGGGACGCTCTCGCTCTGACTGTCTCGGGGGTATTTTGTTGGGGCATGTCTGGGGTGCAGTGTGTGTTCATCGTTCGGCTAAGATCCGCCTGTCGGAGGACATGCCCGACCTCAGGTCAGCGGCCCCGAGCTGTTGCTCGGGGATGGTGGCGCTGCGCAGCGCGTGCCGCCCGACGCGGCATCTGCGGGAGGGGGGCCGTGCCGATCCAAGGCATCCGCGCGGAGCTCCGACAGGCTCTGCTCGCTTCTGTGGTTCCCTCTGCAAAACTGGTCCAGCAGTGCCACGGGCAGTGGCAGCCGATCCACCACTTTTCGCAGGCCTAGAGCTTGACAGGAACACCGACATCGGCGGTGTGTCTCCACCGAGGGAAAAAGATCCCGATCTCGGTGATGGTGGTAATATTATGGCTTCAAGGTGGCCGACATATTACCACCAACGCCGAAATCTAGGATCATCTTCCCCCTGTAGAGGCAACCCCTGGTGTTGGTGTTGGTGTCCATTTCTAGGCCTCCAAACTTTGCCAACGCACATCTGACGTGCATGGCATCGGAGGGGGAGAAGCGACACCGACACCACCACCAGGGGGGCCACCTCCAGTGAGGAGGTGCATGATGCCTCCCCGAGCTGGAGGCTGGGGACGTCTCGAGCGAGAGGGGGACCGCACTCCCAGGGAGACACCCCTCGCTCCTCGCATCTCCTCGCCCTGGTGGTGCTCGTGTCGCCTTTCCTTGTTCCTACTGGCATCTCTCTCTCTCTCTCTCTCTTTCAGGAGGAGGGCAGGACTCGGTCTCAAGCAGTGGCGAAGCGTCCTAGCTCGCCTATGGTCCCATCTACTAATGTTCTAAGAACATTTTGTGGTCTGCACGAATTGTTCTAAGAACATGTCTGGCTGACACATCGGGTCCATGTTCTAAGAGCACGGTGCTTGTTCCGAAAACATTTCTGGGCTCTAAGCATGTTTCGTGCCAGGCCTGTAGGATTGCCGGGACGGTCGGTCCTATAGGATTGCCTATAGGCTCAACGGCCAGACGGGGGGGGGACATGGGATCGGGGCGGGGCACGACATCCGCGGCGTGCAGCTGGCTCCCGCTCCGCTGCCGGGCACTCTTCCTCGAGGCGCGGCTACAGTCCCGGCGCCAGGAGGCGCTGGGAGAGCCAGGGGCACGCCGCGCTCATTCGAGAGGCCCCCACTTGTCAGCCCCGGCGTTCGCCCGCCCCCGTGGTGCGCCCCCTCTCCAGGAGGGAGAAGGAGGGGCAGGGGAGGGGGTGGAGAGGAGATGGAGGGAGAAGGGGGAGGGGAGGGGTGCCAGTGGGGCAGGACGCAGGACGGAGGCTGAGGAGCGAGGCTCGAAGATAAGCAGCTGATCAGCCAGCAAAGCCTCAGACATACATTCGTATAGAGGAATAGATATAGACATATATTGGACGCCCGAGTTATCCGGGGTAACTCGGGTCCGGGGTAACTCGGGATTGGATTCCCGAAAAACGAACCCGAGTTATCCCTGACCCGAGTTACCCTTGATGATGTGGGGCTCTGGACGCCCGAGTTATCCGGGGTAACTCGGGTCCGGGGTAACTCGGGCTCGGATTTCCGAAAAACGAATTCGGGGTTCTGAATATATATATATATATATATATATATATATATGTATGTATATATACATATATATACATATGCATATATATATATGTGTGTGTATGCACATACATGTGTATTGATATGTGTCTGTATATGCATGTAGATCTAGAGACATATGTTTGCAGGTGTGTAAGCATATAAACACATATAGATGTATACATACAGATCCTCCACCTCCCCCCTTTCCCCCCCTCTTCCCCCTCACCCCCTCTTCCTCCACCTCCACCCTTCCCCTCGCGGGCCAAGGGTGGCCACCCCCCCCGCCCTCCCAGCGGAGGCCGCCTTCAGCGGCGCAACCGCCCCCAGCGGACTGCGCATCGCCGGCGTCGTCGCGGCCACCCTGGTCGGCGGGTGGCGCAGGGCCCGTTTCGATCCGATCGGTCCGAGTCGATGCCGATTCTGGCCGCCCTGGTCCGATCGGATTCCGATGTTGCGACGACCCGACGCGGCCCGATGGTTCCACGGCGCAAGCCTGCAGCCTGGCGCAGCCGGTCCGAGTCGATGTCCACCCTGCCCCTGCAGCCCCACCCGACGAACGATCCGAGCCAATGCGATTTCCCGATTCGAGTCGATTTCCCGATTCGATTCCCCGATCCGATTCGATTCCCACTGCGATTCGATTTCCCCATCCGATCCGAATTTCCCGAGCCAATCCGATCCGATCTCCCCGGCTTGATGCCGCCTGATGCTGGCACCGGCCCTGGACCCCGCAAGGGGGGGGCGGGGGCGCTCCCCTCCGAGGCCCGCCCGCCCAGCGCCCTCCGGTGCAGCGTTTGGGGGGGGGGGGATAGGCTCGGGGGCAGCGCTGGGGGCTCGAGGGCTCGAGGGCTCGACGATGTTCGAGGGTGCGATGCTCGAGGGTTCGAGGGCTCGATGTTCGAGGGTTCGATGTTTTCGGGGGTTCGAGGGCTCGACGATGCTCGAGGGTTCGGCGTTCGATGCCCGGTCCTCGGCGGGCTGCTGCAGCCTCGGGGCGCTCGCTCTCCCCGGCCGCTGCGCCCCGCCCCAAGGGCGTGAGATCTTGGGGCGCCCGAGCCGCCCAGGGGCGACAGCCAGAGGCCCGAGCTGTGGCCCGAATCGGGAGCCACGATCAGAGCCCCGAATCATCAGGGGTAACTCGGGTCAGGGATAACTCGGGTTCGCTTTTCGGGATTCCGAACCCGAGTTACCCCTGACCCGAGTTACCCCGGATAACTCGGGCGCCCAGAGCCCCGAATCATCAGGGGTAACTCGGGTCAGGGATAACTCGGGTTCGTTTTTCGGGAATCCAAACCCGAGTTACCCCGGACCCGAGTTACCCCGGATAAGTCGGGCGCCCAACACGAGACGGGGGTCAGTGCAAATTCTCAAGCAGTGGCGAAGCGTCCCGGCTCGCCTATAGCCCCACCAAACAATGCTCTCAGAACCCTGTGTGGTTCCCACGAGATGTTCTTGGAATATTTCCGGCGGAGTCTTGTCTTGTTTAAAAACATCGGGTTAATGTTCTAAGGACATTGTTTTTGTTCTTGGATTTTTTTTGGGTTCTAAGAAGATTTCGTGGTAGGACTATAGGAATGCCGGGACGGTCGGTCCCTGCTCAAAATTCGGGTACAGCCAGTACCCCAGGTGAGGGGACCCGGTCGGTGGTAGGGCCCCGGAGCCCCCAAATTGGCCAGAATCACTAAACCAGGTCTGGCGTAGCTGGGGTTTTGTCGGGTGACGGCAGCTCCGGTTCGTGGAACGGGGCGGGGGGGCGTCCCCCGGTCCGCATTGTTAAACCAGGTCCCACTAAACCCAGTTCTGCCAATGCTTGACAAACGGAGGTCAGCCATGTCGCCGGATCGTGATCGTTTTTCATGCATTCGGCGCGGGCCCTCGGACCCCCCCTCCCCCCCCCCCCTGGAGTCGATCTTGGCTGTTTTTGGCGCCTGTTTCGAGCAGGTGAAGCCTCCCCCCTTAGGACGCACGGTTCCAAACAGTCGCAATGAGCAGAGGGTCGGAGCCAGACCCCCCCTCCCTTTCCGCCCAGTGTCGAAGCGCCGAATAAGAAAACGCTCACCAGGGCGCCGGATCTTGCAGGATCCTGCAGGACCAGGGTCGCATTGACCCAGGCTTGGGTGCAGGATCCTGCAGGATCTTGCAGGATCCTTCGCGCTGACCTGGGTGTGGGTGCAGAATCTTGCAGGATCTTGCAGGATTCTGCAAGGCCTGACTGACCCGGGTCTGGATTGACCTGGGTCAGAAGATCCGCGACCGAAAACCACCAGGGGATAGGCTCAGAAGGGGATGCACCGAACCTCAATCGCCCACTGATCCCACCGATCACCGACAGGGCACGGCAGCCCCAGCCTTCCTGGGCACGTGCGGCTTCGCTCTCGGAGGCGCCGATCTATCGGCGAAGTACCGCCGATTCAGGCTGTTGCGCTTCCCCCCCCCCCCCCCCCCCCCGAGCCAGTCCACCCTACGATTCAGGCTTTTGCGTTCCCCCCCCCTGAGCCAGTCCCCCATAACATGCCCCATTTCTCCGAGCCCTTTCGGTCGCCGGGCGGACCCAAGGCGAAGGCTGTCTGTCATTGTCGGTCTCTGCCTGAAGGGCGGCGCTGCCGGCGGGGGCCCAGCGCCGACCGAAGAAGTCCGCGCGGATCTCCGAGAGTTGATGAGTAGTTCTGCAGCTTCTCTGTTATTCACAGGGGGTCATTTTGGGTGTCGCTCCTCCTCTTCCGCATCCTCCCCATAACCCTTCCCCCCGCCTCCACACTTGCCCCCCCCTCCTCTGCCTCCACTTCCCCCGCCTCTGCCTCGCCCTCCCCAACCTCCTTCACCTCGCCCTGCTCTCCTCCTCCGCCTCTACTCCCCCCTCCCCCCTCCTCTTCCTCCTCGCCTCGATCCTCCACCCCGGCACCCGCCCCGCCTGCCTTCCTCGTGTTCCTCCCTGGAGGTTGGGAGGCTGCCTGACGGCACCGGAGGTAGGAGATGACGATTAAGACTTGCCAGGAGCGCCCGGGGGCGTCACGCAGCAGCGCCCTGTTCGACCATTGACAGATTGTCGCAGGCCTCGAGGTTGACACCAACACCAATATCGGGCGGTGTGCCTCCACCGAGGGAAGAAGATCCCGATCTCGGTGATGGTGGTAATATTCTGCCTTCCAAGGTGGCCGAAATATTACCACCAACACCGAAATCGAGGATCATCTTCCCCCTGTAGAGGCAAACCCCTGTGTTGGTGTTGGTGCCCATTTCTAGGCCTCCAAACTTTGCAAACGCACATCTGACGTGCATGGCATCGGAGGGGGAGAAGCGACACCAACACCACCACCAGGGGGGGCCACCTCCAGCGAGGAGGCGCATGATGCCTCCCCGAGCTGGAGGCTGGGGACGTCTCGAGCGGGAGGGGGGACCACACCGCCAGGGAGACACCCCTCGCTCCTCGCATCTCCTCGCCCTGCTGGTGCTCGTGTCGCCCTTCCTCCTTGTTCCCACTGGCACTGGTTGGTGACCCCCTGTGCTGGTGTTGGTGCCCCCTTCCAGGCCTTCAGGATGGGGCTCCGGGCCCGGCTTGCCGGCCTCGTCCTCGCTGTTGTCGTTGGTGGGACTCTTTGATTGCCCTCTTCAAGCAGTTCTCCCCACTGCGCTCGTCTGTTTACTCTCATGAGGGGAATCAACACACACAGACACAATTGATCGTCGATTCCCCAGAAGATATGGGAAAACATGGGAAGTGAGGGGGAAGGCAAAAACCCAGAAAATGTGGGGAAATATGGGGAATCCTTTTATTTGTGTGTATTTATTTGTGTGTCCCAGGGCCCCTTCACTCGTCCCAGCCTTGCGGCGGTGCTGTGCCGTCGCTGATGCTGCTGATTATGTGGCTTCGCAATCCTGCGCGCCAAGGTGTCGCGTGCTCGCTCGCCCACTGCAGGTTGGCCCTCGCGTGGTTCCAGGTCTGCTTGGTTCATCCTGCATCTCGGGTGCGACCCTCAACCAAATCAGACGTGGCTAGGACGAGAGTAAATCCGTCCAGAGCGTTCCAGAACGCTCTCAGAGCTTTCCGGAACGCTCCGGGAAGGCCGCGGCGCCCGAGAGATGTTCGATTTATCTTCGCCCGATGTTTTATCTTCAGAACGCTTCTCAGAAGGCTGGGGGACTTCGGAGCCTTCTGAGAAGGTCCGCCCCTTCTCGCTTCCCACCCAGGCTCGCCGCCGAGAGGAGGAGGTCGGAGCAGCAGGAGGTGGACGGAGGAGGACGGAGGAGGACGGAGGAGGAGGGCAGAGGAGGCCCTCTGCCCTGACCTTCCAGAGAGCTATGTTTTAGCACTGGAGGCCTGAAAACCTAAAAAACGAAACGAAACAGCCTCAAACCAAGACATATAATAGCTCTGGGATAGGTTTTTAGGTCGGGTGCTATTTTTTAGCCATCCTGGAAGGTCAGGGTGAAGGGTCTCCACGCGGTGATGCCTTCCTCGTCCGGCTCTCTTAGGCAGGTCGTGGGTGAGCGCGAGCTCGAGGCGACAGCGGGCGGGCCTCGCGGCACGCGCGCTCCCCCCGCACCGGCGGGCACGGAACAGGCAGGGGTCAGGCCCCCGGAGACCAGGACCTCCTGACTCCTCCTCCTCCTCCTCCTTCTCATCCTCCTCCTCCTCCTTCTCCTCCTCCTTCTCCCTCCTCCCTCCTCCCTCCTCCCTCCTCCATTCTCCCTCCTCCTCCTCCCTCTCCCTCCTCCTCCTCCTCCTCCTCCTCCTCCTCCTCCTCCTCCTTACAGATACACCTCGGGAGCCTTGAGACGGGGGTCAATGCAAGCGGGGGTCAGCCAGAGCGCCCGATCTCGCAGGATCCTGCGGGGCCAGGGTCGCATGGACCCGGGTCTGGGTGCAGGATCCTGCAGGATCTTGCAGGATCCTTCGCATTGACCCGGGTTTGGGTGCAGGATCTTGCAAGGCCCGACTGGCCCGGGTCTGCATTGACCCGGGTCAGCAGAGCCCCACCAGGACACGGGAAACCAAGACAACGACACCTTTTCCTGCAAGTTCACATGTTTCAGCACCCTTGCATTTTTTGTCTGCTGCGCTGCAGGGTTCGGGTCTGTGTCCAGGTTGGGCGGGGTCTTGCAGGCTTTTAGGGCCTGTGTCGGGGTTTATTCTGGAAGTGTTGCAGTGCAGTATTTTGTTCGTGCCACCGTCTGGAAAAATTGGTTTCGAGGGATGTTGGGTGTCTCGGTTTAGCGTGTCCGGGTTTACGGGGCCCTGAAGGGGAGCAGCAAAGATGCAGGATGGCACGAGAAAGGCGGCGAGAGGAGAGGCATGGCACAAACAGCCCTCCTTCATTGTGATCGTTTCTTATTCACTTTTTTGCCGATCGGCGCGGGCCCCCAAGCCCCCCCCTCCCACCCCATGGAGTAGATCTTGATCTTGGCTATTTTTGGCGCCTGTTTCGAGCGGGTGGAATCTCCCCCAGAGGCCGCACTCTTGCAAACAGTCGCACTAAGCAGAGGTCTGGAGCCAGACCCCCCCCCCCCTCCCCCCCCCCTTTTCCGCCCAATGTCGAAACGCTGGATAAAAAAACGCTCGCCACGAGAAAGACGGCGAGAGGAGAGGCATGGGACAAACAGCCCTCCTTCATTACAGTCGGACCGAGCTATAATTTCGAGGTCGGTTCGGGGACCCAAATGTTTTTCGTGTCTGTTGGATGTTCTTGTGCATCCTGGGGGAGGACACCCTTTAATTTTCTTTAGTTTGGCCAGCAGAAAGTCGCATGTTTTAGCAGCATGCTCTTGTGTCCTAGGTTTTAAGTCGGGCGTGTCCCTCTACATGAGGAGTATTCTAAGACAGTCAAGCAATAGTCTGGGGACGATGTGTCTATTATTTTTGAGTAGTTTGGGGTATCTTTGCACTATGCTTAATTCGTCGTCCAAAATCCGCCTGTAGGGGGACACGCCCGACCTAATCCTAGGTCCGACCCTACCTCTCCCTCGCCTAAGCAGGAAGAACCAGGGGCAACGATAGGGGGGAATAGGCATAGGGGGGGATGCATCGACACCCAGTCGCCCATTGATCGTCGATAGGGGCCCGACAGCCCTAACCTGCCCAGGAAGGTGCGGATTTCCGATCGGGGGCTTATCGCCGATCTATCGGCGATGTATCGCCGATGCCAGGTCGATTCATCCCCCCCTGTGCCTATCTCCCCCTGTCGTTGCCCCTCAAGGAAGAAGAGCGCGAGAGTGGGGAGCACTGAGGGGGCGTCGACGCCCTCGCCAGCTTTTCTTGGGAGGAGAGGGCAGAGTCGGACCAAAGTCGTCCCTTCCTACTCCTCCTCCTCCTCCTCCTCTTCCTTCTCCTCCTTATAACTCCTCCTCCTCCTCCTCCTCCTCCTCCTCGCCCTCACTCCTCCTTACTCCTCCTCCTCCTTACTCCTCCTCCTCCTCACTCTCCTCCTCCTCTTCTCCTCCTCCTCCTCCTGCTCCTCCTCCTCCTCCTCCGCCTGCTCCTCCTCCTCCTCCTCCGCCCCCTCCTCCTCCTCATCCTCCTTTCGGTTGCCGCTTTTGAGCCAGAGTCGGCTGCCTCTTGGAACAGCCTGCTACCATTCTTGCCGCCTCTCGCCACGCAGTGCACGCGCGCACCTGTGAACCGTTGTGGCCGTTCCTTTCCTTGTCCCCCCCTTGTTTCCAACCAATGCAGATCCGCGCGGTGGCAGAAGCCAGGGCCCATGCAGCTCGGGAAACCGCTGGATCACAGACGAGAAGGTGACTGTTGGAAGTAAGATCATGATGGTGGCCATGACGAGGATGCTGCGGACGTTGTTGTTGACGATGTTGCTAATGCTGATGCTTGTTGATGATGGTGGTGTTTATGGTGAGGACGATGACGACGACGATGAACACGGCCATGGGGATGATGATGACGATGATGAGGTTGATGTTGACGATGATGATGGTGGTGACGATGGTGATGCTGAGGATGAGGATGAAGAGGATGATGACGATGATGACGGTGATGTTGTTGATGATGTTGATGCTGTTGATTATGATGACGAGGATGTTGATGATGGTGTTGTTGCTGATGACGACGACGATGATAGCGATGCTAATAAGGTGGCGATGCTGATGATGTCTGCTGCTGATGGTGACGACGATTATGATGATGATGCTGATGATGATGCTGATGATGATGATGATGCTGATGATGACGATGATGATGATGATGATGATGGCGACGATGACCATGACGACGGCGATGCTGATGCTGATGCTGATGGTGGTGATGATGCTGCTGATGATGATGCTGATGGTGACGACGCTGACGATGCTGACGATGATTGTGATGATGATGACGGTGATGCTGATGCCGATGACGAAAATGATGTTGATGCTGATGATGACGATGATGATGATGATGCTGATAATGATGCTGCTGATGCTGATGATGATGCCGATGAGGATGATGATGGTGCTAATGACGACGATGATGATGATGGTGATGTTGATGATGATGATGCTGCTTCTAATGCTGATGGTGATGCTCATAATAATGGCAATGATGTTGCGATGATGATGATGATGCGAATGTTGCTGCTGATGCTGATGATGCGGATTGTGAAGAGGTTGATAATGCTAGTGCTGCTGCTGATGCTGATGATGCGTATCATGACGATGCTGATGCTGTTGATGATGATGATGATGATCATGATGATGATGATGATGATGATTATGATGATGATGGTGATGATGATTATGCTGATGCTGCTGATGATGACGATGCTGATGCTGCTGCTGATAATGATGATGGTGAAGATGTTGGTGCTGATGATGATGATGATGATGATGATGATGATGATGATGATGATGATGATGATGATGATGATGATGATGATGATGATGATGATGCTGATGATGATGCTGATGATGATCATGCCAATGACTATGCCGATGATGAGGATGCTGATGATGGTCATGGGGTTGTTGTTGATGGCAATGGTGATAATGATAATGATGGTGCTGCTGCTGCTGCTGGTGATCAGGCTGCTGCTGATGATTGATGGGCCCTAATGCAGAGAACGTACGGGGAGTAGAGATCAGGGAGAGTAGTATGGATGGATGCCTCCTCCGTCCCTTCGAGTATCCCTCTCCTTCCCCTCCTCCCTCCCCTTGCTCGTCTTCGCGTCCTCCGCCCTCTCCTCCTCTCTCTTCACGCCTTTCTGCTGCTTCCGATCTTCTGTTCTTCCTCCTCCTCCTCCTCCTCCTCCTGCTCGTCGTCGTCCTCCTCCTCCTCGCGCCTTGCTTTTCCTCCCACCTGCTCGTACCCGCTTCTCCCTGCTTATCTCTCCCTCCGCCCTCCCCCTTTCTCCTCTCCCCCCTCTCTCCCCCTGGCCCCCCTCCTCGCTCGGAGGAGGAGGAGAGGAGGAGGAGGAGGAGGAAGGAGGAGGAGGAGGAGGAAGGAGGAGGAGGAGGGACCAGGGAGGAAGAGATTGGGAAAGGGGATGCGTAGAAGGGGGAGGAGGAGGGATGATGAGGAGGAGGAGGAGGTGGCACATGTGGAGGAAGGGGAGGAGGAGGAGGAGGAGGAGGAGGAGGAGGAGGAGGAGGAGGAGGAGGAGGAGGAGGCGAACACAGACAAAGAACACTCCCATGCAGCAAACCCTCCTGGGCCCCCCCCCCCCCCCGGCGGAGCGCCGGCACCGCCGCGCGCGGCGCCTCTCGGCCGGAGCGGCGGCGGCGGCTCCTCTGCTCTCCGGGAGGGGGCCAGGCGGCCGCCACCGCCATGCGTGCTCGCAGGCCGGTCGTGGGAGGCCCCGCCCGCCCATTGCTCCTATCGTACCCCTCCTCTTAGCCTCGGCATCGTTTTGACCGGTCCCCATCCCCATCGGCAAAATCAGGCTGGAGGTTTTTCGCAAGTTTCGGTCCTCGGGGGCCCTCGCCGGGCCTCGGGACCGTCAAGAAAGGACTCGGGATGAAAAGCCAAACTGCCACCCCAGTCGGGGCTACGCTTCTCGAAACCTGGAGGGAACGACCTGTACCCCCCTCTAGGGGGGGAAGTCGGCCAGTGGGGCCCACGCCACGCCGCAGGGGATGGGGATCGGCTAAACCATACTCATAGCCGTGGGGGGAGCGGGTCCTGAGGGAAATTGGTCCCGAGGTGTTTCGCCGTTTTCGGGTTCTCGGGGCCCTCCAGCGGCCCCCCGGACTGTCAGAAGACGTGTCAGGACGACAGGCTCGTCCTGGGGAAAGGTCCCAGGGTCCAGGACCCGTTTCCCTCAGGACCATTTTCCCCATGTGAGCCTTCTCGTTTTATCCTCTTGTCCATCCTCCCTCCCTCCTCCTCCTCCTCCTCCTCCTCCTCCTCCTCCTCCTCCTCCCTCCTCCTCCTCCTCCTCCTCCTCCTCCTCCTCCTCCTCCTCCTCCTCCTCCTCCTCCTCCTCCTCCTCCCTCCTCCTCCTCCTCCTCCTCCTCCTCCTCCTCCTCCTCCTCCTCTCCCCCTCCTCCTCCCCTCCTCCTCCCTCTCTCGTCCTCCTCCTCCTCCCCCCCTCCTCCTCCTCCTCCTCCCTCCTCCTCCTCCTCCTCCTCCTCCTCCTCCTCCTCCTCCTCCTCCTCCTCCTCCTCCTCCTCCTCCCCTCCCACCCCCCCCTCCCTCCCTCCCTCCCTCCCCTCCCCTCCCCTCCCCTCCCTTCCCTCCCTCTCCTCTTCCGTCCAGCCGCTCGTGCATCTCTATTTTTCTGTTTCTGCGCGCTCGGGCGTGTAGGTGTGGTCCCTCTCCTTCTCCGCGCCTTCTGCTCCCCTGGGAGGCAATCGGTAACCCCTCGCCCCTCCTCAGCAGAGGAAATAACAACGCCTCAGGCACCGGGGCCAGGGCGGAAGCGATGTCCCCAGCGGAGGCCCACGACCCAAGATGCTCTGGGCGGGCAGGAGGAGCAGGAGGAGGGTTCCCACGACGGGCTTCCGATGGATCCCAGGAATTCCCTCGCCAGGCGCTCAGGGCGGGGGGTCCTACTCGAGATGGCTGGAGGGAGAGTTGCGTCAGCTTCGAACGGGGCTCCTTCACTGCAAAATACAATGTAACAATGAGTGCATCCATTCTTACACGCATTTGTGTAGGACTTGTGTAGATTACGAGTTAGATCCAACTGGTACAGTTTCATCATCACTATCGCGTGTTCTCTCAACTTATGCGGTGGAAGTGCAGCTCCTGGAGTTTTCCGACGGGGATCGCGCGGGGCAGGTAGGACAAGTTGATGCGCTTGCGCGATCGGCATTTGTCCCGTGATTGGTTGATTGCTGATGACCGCCATCGCCCTCCTCATCACGACCATGATTACGTTGTTGGCGACCGTCGAGGTGGTGGTGGTGGTCGTGGTCAGTAGCATGATGATCCGTGCCGCCATGGTCATACGACCATTGTGACCACGTTCGTAGTGCTGGTTCGTTATCATCGTCATGAGCTTGATGAACAGTCCTTACCCCCCTTAGACTCGTATCGACGACTCAATGTGCCAGATCGCGACTTGGTTCAATCCTTTCTTGAAGCCTCATCATGAGTTCTCAGGAAAGCATAAGACAGGTCCCTTCCATAGGTGACACTCTGGTCTGGTGCGGTCAAGTTCTACCCACCCCGTCAAGTCCCGTCCCGTGCTGACCACATCCCGGCCAATGTGCATTTGCAAATAATAAGTATGTTTCTTCATGTGTTATCGTGCAGCTGTTATGGTAGGTTGTGTTTATGGTTCGTTCGTGCCTTTTTATTGTTTAGCGCTTCTGCTCCTTCAGTGTTTTATGTATTCGCGCTGCCAGTGGGTTCCCACAAATAAGCAAGACGACACATGTGCTATAGTACCACGGGGAGTCGTGCAACCCGCGTGGGATATTCCTCAGTGGTTTTCCCCCATGGGATCCCCATACAAAATCAATGTCCGCATTGGGTTCGCAATACGGATTGCCTATGTCCACGCGCGGCCGCGTCCTCCAAATTCCTGAGAATCTGGTGAGTTTCCTCTTGTTTCCGTTTTGAGATGGTTCGGAGATCCCTCGGGGCGAATCCCCGATTCTGTATTTAATGCTTGCTTGCACGTGCTAAAGGTATCGCCGGGAGGGCGCCGCCGAAAACACACAGTTGTTTGCTTCATGTTTGGCGCTAGTGCTATCTCCAGGGGTGGTGTTTTTTTGCGTCCTTACGGTTACGCGTTCTGGGTACTACTGTTCTCGCGCGTGCTGTGGGCGCCTGGGAGGAAAGGGGGTTGGGTTGTAGGGAGGTGTGCGGTTCGAGCCGGGGGGAGCCTCCCCCCCCCAAGTGACAGCCGAGGACGGCGAGCGCCAGCGCCATCGGGCAGTGACGACGACGATCGAGCTTTCTTAGGATGCTATTAAGGCTGGGTCGTGCCCTCGTAAGGTCCGATCAGAGCTGAATCGCGCCCAAGTCGGATCCTATTGAAGCTGGATCAGCTGTAGTAGGATTATATCCGAGATGTGCCGAGCGATTGCAGGATTCAAGTAGAGCGGGCTCCGAGATAGTAGGGTTCTGTTGGTGCTTGATCGAGACCGATCAGGATGTTATTCGAGATGGCGCGAGCTTCAGTAGCGTTCAATGTGAGCTTGATTCAGGTATCGTAACATTCAAGTAGAGCTGGATCCAGGTATAGCAGTATTCAATTAGAGTTGGACCGCGCCCGATTACAATTGTTTTTCCAATTCCAATTTCAAATTCAGCGCCCAAGTGGAAGCCCTCAGGCCGGGGCCTCAACATCACCGTGGCGTGTTTCCCTCATGGCAAGCTTGGGTTCTCGCACATGTTGAGGCTCGCACCTCAGGTCAGGGCCTCGACATCCCCCCGATGTGGGCCCCGCATTGCAGGCGTGGATACCCCCCGCGTGTCGGACACATGTTGAGGTCATGCTGAGGCCACCAAGTACCGGGCCTCAACGCACCACCCGACGTTAATTTCGCAGAGCAGGCTTGAATTCTGGGGTCCATGTTAAGGCAATGTTGCCTTAACACGTTCCGCATGTCGCAAGCAGGCATGTCGCAAGCAGGGCCACAACATTCCGCCCCACGTGAGTCCAGCAACGCAGGCTTGGATTGTGCGGCACGTGCTGAGACCAGAATGAGGCTCTCAGGTCAGGGCTTCGAAGTCCTCCCGACGTGAGCTCCGCACGCAGGCTCGGATGCCGGGGCCCATGTCGATCGAGGCCGCGTTGACGCCCTCGGGCCAGGGCTTCAACGGCCCCCTGGCGTGACTCCCGCGTGCAGGCTTGCGTTCTGGGGCCCGCGCTGGGGCCGCGCGAGGCCCTCGAGGTCCTGGCCTCAACTCCCCCCCAACGTGTTTTCTGGAGAGCAGGCTTGGATGCTGGGGCCCATGCTGAGGCCCTGTCGTGGCCCTCAGGTCAGGGCCTCAACGCCTTCCCGACGTGAGTTCTCGCATGGCAGACTTGGGTGATGTTGGTTTCATGTTGAGGCCGCGTTGAGGCCCTCAAGTCAGGGCTTCGAAGTCCCCCGGACGGGAATTCGGAGGCTTGGATGCTGGGGCCCGCGTGGAGGCCGTTCAGGGCCCCGACGTGTTCCCGACGTGCTTTCCGCAACGCGCGCTTAAATTTTGGGGCGCACGTTGTGGCTGCGTCAGCGCCAATCAGGTTAGCGCTTTAAAACCCTTTCAGCGTGACTCCTGCATGGCAGGCTCGGATGTCGCGGGCCGTTGAGGCCGCGTCGAGGCGCGACGGTCAGGGCCTCAACATCCTCCGCCGTGTTTCCAGCAGAGGTTTGGACGCAGTGTCCATGATGGGAAAATGTTGACGCCGCGTCGACGCCTCAGGTCAATGCCTCAACATCCCCCTGGCGCGTTTCCCGCGTGGCAGGCTTGGGTGTTGGGTCCCATATCGAAGCTTTGAGCCCCTCAGGTCAGGGCCCGAACGTCCTCCCGACGTACATCCACACGTAGCAGGCTTGGATGCTGGGGCCGATGTTGAAGCCTTGCTGACGCCCTCAGGTCAGGGTGTCAACGCCCCCCTGACGTGCTTCCCACGTGACCGGCTCGACTGCTGGGGCCCAGCCCTTCTGACTTTGGGATTGCAATAGATGTAAGGTTGCGCGCGCTGGCTCCAGGGCGCGCCTTGCGCCGTCGCCCCGGGGGTTGGGTTTGGCGGGCGCGGTCTACTGCGACGCGCGTGCACTGCGGTCCGGCTCGTCTCCCGAAGTCAGACTGCCCCCGCGAGGTGGCGGGCAGACGTCAGTCCTCACGTGGGCGTTGTGTCAGAACAGCCATTCATAGCGAACGCGGTCACCCGTCATGTCCTTGAACCGCCCCCAGCCGCGCGGGCGACTCCGAGGAGGGCGGCCTCTTCGTGCGAGCGCTTGACGGCCTCGGCCCGCGCAGGGCTCCTGGGCGCCATGCGCCCGACGGCGGGCGGCCTGGGGGGCCGCTGCTGGCGCGGGCCACGGCGCCTTCGGACGCGCGCGACAATCGAATGAAATCGCGACGACGTAGGCTGACAGTCCGCGCCGACAGTCCGCGCCGAATGACCCCGCGGAAAATGGACCTCTGCATCGGAAGACAAGTGGCCAGCCGTTTTCCAATCCCAGTTTTGGGCCTCATCATGCCTCGACGTGAATGGCAAGCGTGGGCTCGCGCGTGATGCGCCCATGTTGAGGCTTTCGCCAGAGGTCCGGGCCTCCACGCCCCCCCGGCATAACCTCCGCGTTGCAGGCGTGGGTGTCTCGCGCATGTCGAACACGTTTTGAGGCCGCGTTAAGGCCCTCAGGTCTGGTGCTCAACGCAGGGCCCGACGTGCTACATTCCTCTGAGCAGGCTTGGATTCTGCGGCCCGTGCGGAGGCACTTTGTAGTCGACGTTGAGGCCCTCAGCTCAGGGCCGCAATATCCACCCGACGTGAGTCCAGCAACGTAAACTTGGATTGCGCGGCCCGTGTTGGTTTTGTCCTGGCCGCATGTCAGGGCATCGACGCTTTCCCGATGTGAATTCTCGCGCATAGCCCGCTGGGATGCTGGGACCCACGTCGAGGCCGCGTTGACGCTCTGTGGCCAGGGCGTCAAAATTCCCCCGACGCGCTTCCCGTGTCGCAAGTTTGGATGCTTGGGCGCGCGCTGAGGCCCTCGGAGTCAAGACCTTAACATCTACCACGCAGTGTTTTTCGCAGCACAGGCTTGGATGCTGGGAGCCACGTTGAAGCCGCGCCGTGTCCCTCCGGTCAGGGCCTCGACGCCCCCCCGACGTGATTCCCGCAGAGAAGCCTTGGTTGCTGGGGCCCATGTTGGGGCCTTGTTGAGGCCTTTCGTCCAGGGGTCAACATCCCCCCCCGACGTGACTCTCGCGTGGCAGGCTTGGGTGCGGGGCCCCATGGGGGGGCCGCGTTGAGGCCCTCAGGGCCGCTCCTCCCCGCGCACTCCCGGACGCGTTTCCCTCTTCGCAGGCTTGAATGTTGGGGCCCGCGCCGAGGCCGCGGTGAAGCCTTCAAGTCAGGGCCTCAGCGCCTGCCCGGCGCGTTTCGCGCATGTCAGGCTTGGATGGATGCCGGGGCCCATGCCGAGGCCCTGTTGAGTCCGTCAGGCCAGGGCCTCCGCGCCCCCCGACGTCTCCCGCGCGGCGGGCTCGAATGCTGAGGCCCTTTTGAAGCCCTGCCGTTTTGTTTGTCATTGTAGTTGAGAGTGCGCGCGCGGATTCCAAAGCGCGTTTTGCACGGTCGTCCAGGGCGGGGGGGGGCCCGGCGCCCATGGCCCATTGCGGCTCGCAGCGTTGGTGGCAGCGTGGGGGGCCCGTGACAACGAGCGAGTCAGGCTAGCCAGACGAGCCGGCTCGACCCGCATCCTGGCGGCCGGCCAAGCGGTCACAGCCGCGGGCCGCCGCATTGGACGTGCTACAAAATAAGTGCAGCACTTACGAATCATTTGAGACGCCTTCAGGGAATTCCTTGACGCGCAAACATGCGGTTCGCAAGTTTGATAATTAGTCGGACCGCCCGCGCGGGGTCGCGGACAAACGTCAGTTCTCATGTGGGCGTTGTGTCAGAACAGCCACCCATGGCGGAGGCGGTCCCCGCCCTTGTCCTTCAGCCGTCCCGGCCGCGCGGGCGACTTCAAGATGGGCGGCCGCTTCGCGCGGGCGCCCGCTTGGCGGTCTCGGCCCGCGCAGAGTTCCTGGGCGCCGCGCGCCCGACGGCGAACGGCCCAATGGGGCCGTTGCCAGCTCGGGCCAAGGCGCCTGCCAGCGGACGCAGGCGACATTTAAGTCAGATGACGACGGCGCGGCGGGGACGCAGTCCGCATCGAACGGCCCCGCGAAAAAATTGAAGCAACATTGGAAACTGGCTGTGCGGTGACTTCGCAGGTTGATCCAGCTAGTGCAGCATTCCACCAGAGCTTGATTCAGCACCACCCCCGTTCCAGTAAGGGGAGGGACCCCCTCCCATTCCAATTTCCCGTCTCCCCGGCAGGGGGCGGGGGCCGATGCGACGCCCCGCCCCTTTTGTACGGGGGGGTGGGCCGGGGGGTCTGGTTCGAAAGGCCAGTGCCCCCCCCACCCCTTTCTCCCTTCCCTGTTTCCCCGGGCGTTTCAATTGTTTCAGGCCCAGCCCCCAATTCCGACGTGTCCGCGGATTTGCTGCGAGCAAGCTTCCACGAAACGTTTTTTTATATAATATATATATATATATATTATTACTATTATTTGTTTTTAGAAACTATCTCTCTATATATCCCTCTATCTCTTTCTTTCTTTTTTTCTCTCTCTCTCTCTCTCTTTCTTTCTCTCTTTCTTTATGTTTGTTATGTCTTTATCTCTCCCTCTCTATACATACATGCATATATATATATAACTATATATATATATATATATATATATCCGTAAAAGGGTTTTGCCCCATGCCGCCGGCCCCCTGTCTCGGATGATTGGAGATGCAAAAGCTAAATCATAAGGTGTGGGCGCCGCCGTGAGGCAGTGTCGGGACCTGTTTGTTGTTCGACCCTGGCCCCGCCGATTTGCGTGACGGGTGCCAGTGAATTTTAGTCATGTGACACGTCCCCTCCAGCAGGCTACCAAGTGCTCAGCCAGACGAAGCTCATCTTCACCGCCAGCCTCATGGGCGCGATGCTCGGCAAGCGCTTCTCGCCCAAGCAGGTCGCGGCACTGGCGTTGCTGCTCTGCGGCGCCATCTGCACGCAGCTCGGCTAGATGTCGGGTGCCAGCATCCTTGGTGGAAAGGGTAACGTTGCTCTTGGTTGCGGCCTCACGGTGATCTCGAGTTTGCTCTCCTCGGTCCTCAATGTCTTCTACGAGAGAGTCATGAAGAGCGATCGCGACGAGTGGGCGTCGAACGTACATATGACCATATGGACCCTATTCTGGGTCGCAGTCGTGCGGGCGTGCAGCGCTGACGAGGGCCTGAGGGCCATGCAGGGCGGGCTCGCAGGCCTCACGAAGAGCGTCGTGCATCTCACCGCTGGTTTCACACCAGCTGTCTGGGTGATAGTATTTCTCAAAACGTTAAATTGTGTAATCATCCCCGCCTGCCTGAAGTATGCGGACAGCATCCTGTATAGTTACGCGAAGCCAGTGTCGATTGTGTTGACGTGCGTGGCTACGGCGGCGATTACCTCAAGCCTTCCCGCGCCCAGCATGATGTTCGGGTTCACGCTGGTGCTGATCTCCATGAGTCTCTCCGGTCGCGGTTGAACGCATTGTCTATTGGCTCGATTAAAACAAGAAAGTACCGAACTTGTGGTGGCTTTTCATGTGCCCGGCCCTGGCAAGCGATACTCGTTCGGCATTGTTTCGATACCATTCTGGGTACTCGAACTTATTTCTGGGATGTGGTCCTTCAGCACGATGGGAGCAACATAATGGGAATGGTGGATCCGAGCTCCGGCGGCCCTGCATTGAGAAAGCCCACGGTGTCGGAGCCGCTGCCGGGGTCGTCGGCGTCGTTGTAGTCGAACCGCGTCGTCTCTGCACGCTCCCTCCTCATTCTCATCGCCTTCCGGCGCCCGGATCGAGGGACATCGAGGGACGCGTCGCGTATTCGAACCAGCCCTGTCGGAGACCTCTTGAGGATTTCTGGGGTGCGTCTTGGGGGCCTCTCGGGAGTGTGGGAGACCGTCTTCGGGGGGCTTCTGGGGGGCCTCTTCGGCGCATGGTGCGTGGAGGCCGTCTTGTTTGGTCGTCCGGGCGGTTCTTTGGGCGGTCTGGGAGCCGTGGTGGAGCGTCACTGGGCCGTCTTGTGGGTGTATTTGAGGCCGTCTTGGTGAGTCTTTTGGGTTTCGTGGGGCCCACAGACACCCCCTCCACAATTACTCAGTAATGTGCGCACTACTCTCCTCTCTCCCCCGACTACGTCCTGGAAGTGTATCGATCCCTCCGTTACTTGTTGTTTATATGTGCAACGGATTTCATGATTTGGTATTCCCTGCATGTTCTCGGTGTTTCAAGATGGTGTTCCCGCTGCAGCGTGGGCCTCATTTTAGGATCGGCACATTGCTCCCAGCGTGGAGCATGGTCATCTCGGCCCAGCGCGGGCTTCTTTTCCAGGTCCGAGTCCGCCGCCTTCCCCTGGTCGTCCTGCTCCTCCAGCTCCTGATCCTGCTGCTGCTGTTCCCCCCTCGCCCTTCCCCTTCTGCATCCTCCCCTCCCTCCTGCTCCTCCGCCTCCTCTGCCACTGTATGCACGGCCCCCCTCGTCTGCTCGCGCACAACAACACGACGGCGCCTCTCTTTTTTCCCTACCTTACCTAGGCTCTGCCTAGAAGGGTTCTTACTCTCTAGCTTAAAGGGGCCGGGCAGTGGAAAGCGCCCCGGGCGGTTCCCCCAGTCCCCGCCCCGCGGTTCCCCCCAGTCCCTGGGAGCTTTAGCTTTAGCTTTAGCTTTAGCTTAGCTTTAGCTTAGCTTTAGCTTAGCTGTAGCTTAGCTGTAGCTTAGCTTTAGCTTAGCGTTTCGCTTAGCTTTTCGCTTAGCGTTTAGTTTAGCTTTAGCTTAGCTTTAGCTTAGCTTTAGCTTAGCTTTAGCTTAGCTTGAGCTTAGCTGTAGCTTAGCTTTAGCCTAGCTTTAGCTTATATTTAGCTTAGCGTTAGCTTAGCTTTAGCTTAGCTTTATCTTATATTTAGCTTAGCTGTATCTTAGCTTTAGCTTAGCTGTTGCTCAGCTTTAGCTTAGCTTTAGCTTAGCTTTAGCTTAGCTTTAGCTTAGCTTTAGCTTAGCTTTATCTTAGATTTAGCTTAGCGTTAGCTTAGCTTTAGCTTAGCTTTAGCTTAGTTTTAGCTTAGCTTTAGCTTAGCGTTACTGTTACTACTAATGCTGCTTTCCTAGGGGTTCCAACTCCTAGGTAGGGTCGCACTGGGATACATTTTTTTTTTGGGGGGGGGTGGCGGCGGCTCATCAGGTCCGCTGAGCGACTCCCGTCGGCGGACAGACAAATCAGCACCACAGAAAAAAGGATGGGAGGAAGGGGCGGGAGGTCAGATGTGGCGCGAGCGCGCCCAGCCTGCCTCGGGGGCGCCTCTCCCTCCCCCCCCCCGCCCCTTCCTCTCCCCCCTCGCCCGTGGCCGCGCGGCCCCGATCCGCCAGGCAACTGGAAGTGCAACCCGGAGAAGATGGCGGACCTCGACGGCCTGATCCCCGGGAGGGGGCGAGGGTGGAGGGTTTCTCCGATGGGCTCAGGCGGCCCGTCCTGTTCCTCCTCCTCCTCCTCCTCTTTCTTCTCCTCCTCTTTCTTCTCCTCCTCTTTCTCCTCCTCCCTCCTCCTCCCCTCCTCCTCCTCCTCCTCCTCCTCCTCCTCCTCCTCTCCTCTCTTTCTCCTCCTCCTCCTCCTCCTCCTCCTCCTCCTCCTCCTCCTCCTCCATCTCCTCCTCCCCCTGCTCCTCCTCCCCCTGCTCCTCGTCCTCCTCCTCCTCCTCCTCCCCCTCCCTCCTCCTCCTCCTCCTCCTCCTCCTCCTCCTCCTCCTCCCCCCTCCCCCTCCCCCTCCCCCTCCTCCTCCTCCTCCCCTCCTCCCCTCCCCCCCCCCTCCCCCTCCCCCTCCACCTCCTCCTCCTCCTCCTCCTCCTCCTCCTCCTCCTCCTCCTCCTCCTCCTCCTCCTCCTCCTCCTCCTCCTCCTCACCCTCCTCCTCGGGTCTCCTGTGGCCCTGGGGGAAACCGTGCAGACGAGGGCGGTGCCCCCCTCGGGGGTCCCCAAACGGAGTTGTGACCACACCGTGTAGTGAGTCGGTGGGGACTCGGGGTCACCGCGCGGTTTTGGGACTCGGGTCGTTCTGCGGTCCCGGAAAACCGTGCGCTGACGGATTGCGCGGTGAGGCCCTGGGGGATCTCGAGGTCTTTGCACGGTCTGTCAACGCACCGCTCTGGGTTTCCCGACCCCCTCCCCCCGCGCGCAGACCGAGCCGCATTGGGCCCCCTCCTGCCCCCTCACTCCGGGCCCAGACCCCTGGCCGGCGGACTCGGCGCGCTCCTGCTCCTGCTCCTGCTCCTGCTCCTCTCGGCCCCCGCCCCGGGGCCGGCGCGCCGGCCCGAGTTCTCATCGCGGGGGCCCCGGGGCCCGCAGCCGGCCTCCAGCGACCCGGCACGGCCAGAGGTTTGCCGTCGCTCCATTGCGAAGGCTGGTGCCGCCGCCCCTGAAGGGGGACGACGACGACGACGACGACGACGACGACGACGACGACGACGACGACCACGACGACGACGACGACGACCACGACGACGACGACGACCACGACGACGACGACGACGACCACGACCACGACCACGACCACGACCACGGTCACGACCACGACCACGACGACGTCGACGGCAATGACGACGTCAACGACGACGGCAACGACGACGGCAATGACGCCGACGCCGACGCCGCCGCCGACGACGAAGACGAAGACGACGACGACGAGACTGACGCTCTGGAGCCGAATGCTACTCCCAGGGAGGGGTGCTCCCCCCCTGGGGGGGTTCTCTCTTTTTTTTCGAGCCGCTGGACTTCTCGGTACAGTGGGCAAGAGTCGACTTCTGGACCTGTCTCCAGGGGTGCGCCCTGGCCAGAACAACTCCGAGGGCAGCCCGGCCGCGGCGAGGAGAAGCCCCAGAAGACTTGCCTCGAAATTGGCCAAAGACGTTCAAACCTGAGATCATGCTGCGATCTGGTCTACGTTTGAGGCCCAAGCCTTGGCATTCGAAGCGTGACTCGATAGTCAGAACGCTGGTTTAGTCGCGGGCATGGCTCATGCGCATCGCAAAGAACGGCTCCAGAACGTTTGGTCGTCGATTCTCGGTCGAAGAGCGCGATCGGAAGCCCTCTGTCCCAGAGTGTCTGGAGAGTTTGTTCCCTTACGGTGGCGCGTGGGGGTAAAAACTTTCCATCCGCCTGGGACAGGCGTCCACGATGACGGACAAGCCTACTAGTACTTGATACCGCTGTTCGTCCGCGGATCCAATGTCGGTCAGTATGGAACTGCCGAGTCGCACCCCCCCCCAGAGCATGCGTCGGCGTCCTTCGACATTGGAGGTGCCGACGTCGAAGGGGGGCTCAAGGCGTTTTTGAGTTTACTTTTGTCGAGCGTTGTAGGACGATAGGTTCGTGTCATGTCGACCTGTGGCGACCCCACCAGCGGCGTTCAAACGTTGAACGCCGCGGGCGACCCAGAATCGTTCGATGTGGAACGAGTTGGACGTTCCCGAGGGCTGATCGGTAAGGGTTGAGCGATCCCCGCGGTGCCAGGAATCCACGCCGAAGTCGGCACGACGCGAGCCTGCCGTGCTTGCTTCCGCCGTTCGTCCGCGGATGCGAGCCCTGCCCCCTCCTGGACGTCGCCAACATCCAGGCGTGCGACACCGCCAAGTGCGACGTGTACGTGTGCCCCTCGCCCCTGCACGTGGCCTACTGCACAGGCCCGTCGCCGGCGGCCCCCGCCGGCCTGCCTTGTTGCAAAACGCCCGGGGCGAGAAGCTCGGGGGCCCCCAGACGAGGCGGTGACCACACCGTGCGGTGAGTCGGTGGGGCTTCGGGGATCTCGTCCTCCTCCCCCTCCTCCCCCTCCCCCTCCTCCTCCTCTTCCTCCTCCTCCTTTCTCCTCCTTTCTCCTCCTTTCTCCTCCTTTCTCCTCCTCCTTTCTCCTCCTCCTCCTCTTCCTCCTCCTCCTCCTCCTCCTCCTCCTCCTCCTCCATCTCCTCCATCTCCTCCTCCCCCTCCTCCCCCTGCCCCTCCTCCTCCTCCTCCACCTCCTCCTCCTCCTCCTCCTCCTCCTCCTCCTCCTCCTCCTCCTCCTCGGGTCGCCTACGGCCCCGGGGAAACCGTGCAGGCGAGGGCGGTGCCCCCCTCGGGGGTCCCCAAACGGAGTGGTGACCACACCGTGTAGTGAGTCGGTGGGGACTCGGGGTCACCGCGCGGTTTTGGGACCTGGGTCGTTCTCCAAGGACGTCCCGGGTGGCTGGGGCATCCGAGGTCCCAGAACCGTGCGTTGACGGACCGTGCGGTGAGGTGTTGGTGGATGTCGAGGTCACCGCACGGTTTGTCACCGCACCGCCTCGGGACTCCAGAGAAGCGGTGTGAGGGGCCAGGATCTTGTTCCGCGAGCGCGTCCCACTGCTCACAGAGAGTGCAGACTCGCCAGCCTCAGAAAAAGACGCAGGAGGTCGTAGAGATCCCCCGCGGCGGGTCCGGGCCACCTGCGAGCAGGGACTCTCAAGGGAGGAAAAACCACCCCGACCAGACAATTGGCGTTTACTGAACTGCCCTGGGCGTTTACTGAACAGCCCTCCCCTGCCTGATTCTTCCTCTGGGCGCGCTCACTGAACGGCTGCGCGTGTCGGGGGGGTTTTAATCGCGGTGAATTTCCTGCCCTCTATACTGGGAGCAGGTGCTCTGCGAGCAGTGGGGCGCGCTCGTCCACTGCCGGCGAGGGCGCCGGTCCCCGGGCGAGGGGCCGAGGGAGTTCCGGGGGGGCGCGGCGGCAGGTCGGGACGCGCCGCGGCAGCGGGAGTTGTCCGGGGACGCCCGGCTCTCTCGCCCATGGGGTGCTCGCCTCGGATTGGAGGGTGAATGTGTCGGGGGCGGCAAAGAGGGGGGTGATAACTAGGGGGGGGGGATCATGACGTGGGCCATGATTTTTCCCCAGGTTTCATGGCGCCTCTTCTTATTTCATTACGTCCCTGCCCCCCCGCCCTGGGCCGCGCACATGCCACCGGCCATGATTTGCACATCCCCCCCTCTTGGCCGCTCCCGAGATTGGAGGGTGAATGTGGGGGTCGGGCGCACGGTCCCGGCAATGGTGCCTCTATGGGCCATGCATGGGCGATACATCCTCGATTGTTGTGTTCGGCGCGGGAGCCACTTGAAGCTCCCCGCCTGCACCCATAAATGAGACTTGAAGGTAATTGAAGCAAGGAGTCGGTCTTCTTGCCGACGGAGAAGACGACACGGCATAAGCATTGAGTCGAGCATATACCTCTACAGGAGGAATACCCCAAAATAGTCCCAGTATGGTCTGGGGTGACTTGTTGCATATTATTGGCTGCTTTTGCGCATTATTTGCCTATTTTGAAGTTGTCTTTCAAGATCCGCCTGCAGGTCGGGGGCGGCAAAGAGGGGGGTGATGACTAGGTGGGGGGGATATCATGGCGGGGGCCATGATATTTCCCCTGATTTCATGGCGCCTGTTCTTATTTCATTACGTCCCTGGCACCCCCGCTGAGCCGTGCACATGCCGCCGGTCATGAGTTGCACCCCCCCCCTCTTGGACACCCCCCCTCTTGGCCGCTCCCGAGTAGGGGGACACGCCCGACCTGACATAAGCATGCTGTCTCGGAGCTCAGGGCGGACTTCTCGCCTCGGCCCCCCTGGCGGCGCCTCTGGCGCTGCTCCTGGCGCGCTCCGCGCGTTCCAGCAGAAATCCGCGGGGACCTCAGAGAAATTATTCGAGTAGGGTATCGACGACAGTCAAGCAGTGGCGAAGCGTCCTGGCTCGCCTATAGCCCCACAGCAATGTTCTAAGAACCTTTCGTGGTTTCCACGAAATGTTCTTAGAATGTGTCTGGCTCGGGCTGCCTTGTTTTTACCACATCGGATTTATGTTCTAAGAACATTGTTTCTGTTCTTAGAACATTTTCGGGTTCTAAGAACACTTCGTGGTAGGCCTATAGAAATGCCGGGACGGTCTGTCCCTGCTCAAGACAGAATCGGTTTGCCACAGAATTGTTGACGCTTCGCGAATCCGCACCAGTGCACCACCTCCCGCTTCCGGTGACCTGAGGTGCCGCCTAGGCCTCTGTTCGCTGGCGCGTTAGGCACTTAGGATCGCGCGGGGCCCGCCCGTCCCGTCTGACGCCGCCTGCGCTTTCGCTTGCGGCTGCGACAAAAAAAATCCCCACCAGCCCATCCAGCAACGATGCCCAGAGGAATTGCCTCGATCAGGGAAGTGGAAGGCACACAGGTGGAAGAGGAAACTCTCTAAACCACCGACGCCCAGAGGGCTGGTGGGATTTGCCTGTTCGTCGAAACTGCTCATGAAATGCGTAGAATGTTGGCAGATCTACGAACATTCTACGCATTGCTCGCAAATCGAACGAACAGATTAATGCTGGGGCGAATCAACTCTGCAGTCGATCTCCTGCTCGAATTCTGCCTTCGCATCCGGCGTGCCTCGCAAGGCTGCCAGCGCGCCCCTCACGGGCTCGCTGGCGCGCGCAGCAAATGGGGCGGCGCGAGGGCGGCGGCTTTGTCCCCGGAGCAGGAGGCCATCGTGATCGTACGCTCCGAGTCTTCCACAGCCTTCACGGGACCTTCCAAGGTATTCAAGAGGCGTGGTTGGATGTTTCAGGAAACCGGGGCGATTTGGAGGAGCTTTTCACGAAGTGCAAGATCGTGTCAGAGCCGCAGCCCATGCTCAGTATCGTTGAACCGATCCCTACCCCCATTCCCGTCACAATCCCGATCCCCACCATCCCAACACCCCCAGTTGGGGATATATATCGATATGCCCCTCGAAGCCCGAAGGGAGCCACCTCTATCCCCATCTCGGGGGTTAATCGGCCAGTAGGGCCCAGGCCACGCCAGTGGGGACAGGGGTCGGTCAAACGATGCTCAGCTCCACCCCTCGCGGGTCGGCCGACCCCGGCTGGACACGGCGCGCATTCGCATTTGCATCCCGCACGGGCTGCAGCAACGAGGGCCGCCGGATGCTCCGGGATCCTTGGAGCATATATCTTGAGCCGATCCTGTCGTGGCATTCTCGCTCTGGTGATCGTTTCTTTATTCATTGTTTTGCCGATCGGCGCGGGCCCGCAAAACCCTCCTCCCCCCCCAATGGAGCAGATCTTGGCTGTTTTTGGCGCCTGCTTCGAGCAGGTGGAATGTCCCCCAGAGGCAGCACTCTTGCAAGCAGTCGCACTAAGCAGGGGTCCGAGCCAGACCCCCCCCCTCTGCCCAATGCCGAAGCGCCGACTAAGAAAGCGCTCGCCCGAGAGGGCGAGGGGCCTCTGAGAGGATGGGGATCGAGGTCCGAGGACGAGGACGAGGAGGAGCAGGATGTTCGAGGCAGGGGTTGTGCTGTTCCAACCTGCTGCAGCAGCCTCGGTCAGCCTCGATCACCAGAGATGGTCTCGAGCACCAGGAAGCTACCGAAACTGGAGGGCCTTCCCGTCTCGGGCCCTGGGAGGCGATGCCCGTTCGGCACTCTTTCGGTACTTCTCTTGGTGCTCGAAGTGATGTATGGAATGTTGTCCTTCAGTACGATTAAGTCGGTCCTGTCCCCCTACAGGGGGATTTTCGACGAAGAATAAAACTATACCCCCAAAATGGTCCAACAGTAGTCCAACAATAGCCTGGAGACTATTGTTTGAGCATTCGTTTACCTTTTTGGGGTATTGTTGGGGTATTTTTTCGTCGAAAATCTCCCTGTAGGGGGACACGCCCGACTTAACCTTAAGTACGATAGGAGCAACGTAACGCATGGGCTGCGCCACCCATGGATCTGCAGCCGTCAGCGCTCGGGAGGATCGGCGAGGTCCTCCCACGCCTCGCCGCCGCCTCCCGCGATCGCCGAGCTCGAGTCGGGCGAGTCCCTCTACAGGAGGAAAATTCAAGAATAGTCAAAAAGCAGTCAGGGGATGTTTTTTGTTGCTAATGTTGACTATTTCTGAGCATCTGTTAGACTATGCTTTTATTATTCCTCCAAATTCCGCCTGTAGGGGGCTACGCCCGACCAAATATTTGGCGGCGCGCGCAAGGGGAGAAGGGGGGGGGGTGCGCGAGAGTCATGCCTTCCAAGATGGCGTCGCTCTCAGGTTTTCGGGCGTTGTCGTTGGTGCTCGGCGGTTGTCAACCCTCGGGGTGCTTTTTATAGCAGCCCCCCCTCGCCGAACGGCGTTGTTGTGACCCGAGGACTGGACGAGGGGGATTCTTGGAAGCCCCAGGGCCCTCCAAGGAGCCCTCCTTCAGTGGCGGCCTAACCGACCCCTAGCAAACCATCCCCTTCTGTGACGCCCCCCTCGCCTCGCCCCGAGACGTATGTATGCGGCCAGAAGGAAGCTCGAACGGCGAGGATGACGTCACGGCATGGGATGGCTTGCTAGGGGGCGGTTACGCCGCGCCCGACTCCTGGCAATCAACAAACCTTGCTGGAAGCCTTGGGCCTGTTATGAGAGCGCCCCGTACCTTTCATAGGGGGTTGGCCAAGAGAAGGGGGATGACTAGGGTAGGGTGGATATCATGGCGGGGGCCATGATATCTCCCCAGATGTCTTGGCGCCACTTCTTAATTGATCGCCTCTGAGGGGGCAGACACCGCCGCCCCATTTTTTGTTGGAGCCCAGAGTTTCCCTTCGGGGGGTCCAGCACGGCCCCAAGAGGGTCTAAGAAGCATCAGAAGACGGCGCAAGAGGTCGGCAAGAGGCTTCGAAGACGGCATGAAAGTGTACCAACCGTGCCCAAGTTTGGGGACGACATTGGTGCGGGATACGCAAACGCAGGAAGAAGCAAGCATAAGTTGGCCTTGGGCCCCCAGAAGGGGCCTCAGAACAGGAGTCGATCTACTTTCGCGTCCCTCGCACGTTTCTGGACTTCTCGCGAGGTGAGGTCGGCAGACGATGCAAGTAAACGGAATGGAGATGAGTACGATGTCGAGCCTGTCTCCAATTGTTACCGGGCTCCTTTCGTTCGACGGGTCGACGTGCTCTTATAGCACCCGAGCGCTTATGCCAGAAAACGACAGTGCGGCTCTGAGACGGCTCCTCTTTTACGCTGACGCGAAGTTTGTGCGAAGGGTCGAAGACGGCCCCAGAGGGTCCAATGAGACGTGGAGAAGAGCCCCTGAAGAGGCTCCGAGAGCGGGCGAGAAGGGCACCCAGAGGTGTCGAACAGACGAAACCGAAGAGGGCTACGGGGAGACAGAAAGAAGCACCGCCGCCTAGTTCTGGGGCCCCAAAGAGCCGTCCAGGAACCTGGGCGCGCACAAGACGACCCAAAACAGAGCGCGACGAGGGTGGCCATACTGCCCGAGATGGGCCAGGGAGGCTTTCCGGACGGCCCAGGAAAGGCCTTTGAGATACATCCCAACGTTGCCCGAGAGGCCCCAAGAGTGTCGCTCTAGGCCTCCTACATGGGGTCGGAGTAGAAGGGGTCGGAGGATCGCGCCGCATCTCTGATGCATCGGCAATGCGGCTCGATGTGGAGCCTGATTTTCTCAACGCCGACGGCGCCGATGCGTCGACGACGTCGGCGATGTATCGCCGATGCATCGCCGATGCGGCGCGATCCTCCGACCCCATCTTCTTGGACCCCATTTAGGAGGCCTCTAGTCGCAAGATGCTACAAGAGAGCTCCAAGAGGCGCAAAGAGCTTTCAGCCGAACGTGCCTCGAAGAGGGCTTCAGAGGGGTCCGAGACGGCACCGCAGGGCCCCAAAGAAAGGCCAAATGAACCCAAGAGGGCTCTGAGAGGCTCCGGGAGGGTTTGCGGAGAGGTCCCAAACGGCGCCCGGAGGCGTCCGGGAGTCTCTCGTGCGAAGGCCTGCGTGAGTTGAGGGCAAATGGGCGGCCAGCGGACGCCCAGGGGGCTGCCAGGTCCCCCAGGCCGGCAGAATGAGCGGGCCGCGGGGAGGACCCCGGAAGGGTTGCCAGGGCTCTGAGGAAGGGCATGGGCACGAGGAGTGCGTGGGCAAGGGACTCAGGGGAAAGAACTATTGCAGACCATGCGGCGGGGATCTCACACGCCGTACCCGGTGGGGCGGCAGATCGTTTCGTTCGGCCCATTTCGCATTACGGTGGCTACATGGTGGTGTGTTCGTACCTCTGGGGAACGGTGGGGCAGGCAGGACTGTCCTCGAGGAGATCTTTGGAGATGTGGCTCGCACCCTGTCGAATAGAGCCGATAGACTGCCCGAGGGGCGCCAAGATGGCTCAAGAGAGCTTAAGCAGAGATTTGGGGACGTTGTGGGCCTCTTGGGGGCCTCTTGGGGGCCCCTTTGGGGGCTCTTGAGGGCCTCTGAGGGTTTTCTTGGCGCCTCTTGAGGCCGAGAGTTCGAAATATCTGTTCGGGTTCCCCCTCTGGGCCCCCTCTTGGGACCATCCTACGGACGTCTTGGATACCTCTTGGGCTGTCTTAGCCATTTTGGGCTATTTTTGGGCCTTCTTGGAAGCTGTTTGTGCCGTTTTGGAGCGATCTTGACGGTGCTTGGGCCGCCCAGGGCGGTCGGCCGCTCGAAAAGACAGTACCGCCAAAATCGTCCGAAAACCAAAGCAAAACCAATGGCTTTTGCGTTCTCGGGGCCTCTCGAAGTCCTCTTGGAACCCTCCTGGAGCGTCTTGGGCGCTTCTTGGGCCGGCTTGGGGCCAACGTGGGCGGTCTTGAAACGCTCTTGGCCTGAGGCCGTGGGGCATGGCGCCTTCTCTTCTTTCAATACGTTCCCGGCGCCCCATGTCGTCAGCGCACAGCGAGCCATGATTTGCGTCAAGTCGGGAATGTCCCTCTACAGGAGGGATGTTCAAAAATAATACAAACATAATATGGGACCTTTGGCCATTTTTGAATATTGTTTGACTTTTAAAATGATTTCTCCAAAATCTGCCTGTAGGGGGACATGCCCGACCTAAGATTTGCGCCCACCCCTCTTAGACGCCCCCCTCTTGGACGCCCCCGAGAGTCGGGGAAACGTAAGACTCCAGTAAGCCGAACTCGGGTTTGCCGATTTTTTTTTGACGAGCGCGTCCTGAGTTTTGACGGTCCCGTTTTCGTGGGATGTCTGCAGCGGGAGCCCGCCAGATTTGGTCTCGTCATTTTTACGATGGCCCCCACCCGAGTCTCCCCGAGAGAGGCACACCCAGGGGGCTATTCGGACGCATCGCTGTGGAGCATGGACGCCCCTTGTCGTATGTCCCCGAGCGGGGCCCCGCATGCCTGGTCCGTTCGAAGACGTATCGAAGTCGGGGATAGGGGTCCAGGGTTTCTCCGAAGGGCTTAGGCGACCCCTCCTCCTCCGCCTCCTCCTCCTCCTCCTCCCGCTCCTCCTCCTCCTCCTCCTCCTCCTCCTCCTCCTCCTCCTCCTCCTCCTCCTCCTCCTCCTCCTCCGCCCTCCTGCTCCGCCTCCTCCTCCCTCCTCCTCATCCTCCTCCTCCCTACCTCCTCCTCCTACTCCTCCTCCTCCACCTCCTCCTCCTCCCCCTCCTCCATCTCCTCCTCCTCGTCCTCCTCGGGTCGCCTACGGCCCCGGGGGGAAACCGTGCAGTCCAGGGTCGACATACAGGTGGGGCCCATGCCAAGAAACACCCTGCTTGCCTCCAGGGTGCCCTGGGTTTCTTGGGTTTCGATGGTTTGGTGTGGGAAACGTGGCGCCCCCGCACCAGAAATCAATGGACGCCCTGGGGTCTCAGGGTTGGGTTTCTTGTGGCAGGTGTCTTGTGGACTGGCCTCCACTGTATCCCCTGCTGCCTGCTTGTGCGCCCCGCCAGTAGATACAAACTTCTGCCGTCCACAGACGGCGGATCTCGATCTCGGCCGGCGCCAGTCCCGCACCGTCAGCCGTGATCGCTCAAGGTTGAACGATCCACTCCGCCCTCTCGTCGTTCCCTCTACTCAGCTCTGCCGAATCCCCCCCAATGCAGTCAGGCAGCCTCCTGACCCAGAGGAGGAGGGAAGAGAAGGTGAGGCGGAGGAGTACAGTCGAGTTTGATTAGTAGGTCGACTCTGCCAATTCAAAGGTGCCCTTGGGTCTTGTGTTTAGCGACCCATGCCTCCTACATGCCTATAGCAATGTGACCTTCGGAGGGTGTCCTCTCGCGTGTCCTCTCCAATCAAGCTCGATTGTAGGGGCACCCTCAGGAGGAGGGCAGGGGACAGGATGAAGAGGGGGGCAGAAGGAGGAGAAGAGATCCTCACACGCCCGCCAGTGACTCGAAGAACAACATACGGCATAAACATAGACTGTTGGCGGTCATCGCGGATTTCTTGGATCTGCGATGGGCCCCCTTGGCGGCTGCTCCGGCGCCGCCCCTGGTGCTCTCCGCGCGCCAGGGAGGGGGGCTCAGCGCAGATCCAAGACATCCGCGCGGACCGTCAACGTTTACGTGTATGGAGCTGGCCGTTCCTCCAGTGAGTGCATTGGGGCCCCTCTCGCCGCATTGCGCACCTCGCTCCCCGACCACACCGCGGAGGCAAGTTCACCAACGGCGCCAAGGTCACGCCGCAGAACTGCAACTTCAAGGGCTGCGGCGCGTTCACCGGCGAGACGTCCGTGGAGCAGATGAAGGAAGCCGGGGGCGCCGAAGGGAGGGGTGAGGACAAGGGCTGAGTCGGGCCTGCCTCTCTACAGGCGGAATATCAAAAAATGGCAAAGAAAGTAGTACGGGGACGATGTTCCAAGTATTTTGGAATATTTGTTGGATCTTTTGGGAGTGTTACTAATTCTTCCCCAAAAATCCGCCTGTAGGGGGACATGCCCGACCCAAGTCTCGGCCCTGATGCGCCAACCAACTCTCCCCGACCCTTCTTCTTGGCGCGCAGTCAAGGCGCCGAGGTAGAGTCGGGGCCCTGAAGAAGGAACCCTTTTCGTGTCAACGCCCCGACTGTAGCAGCTCTGGCGGTTCGGAAGGGGCCCGCTGTTCCCCGGGTCCTTCCCCATGTTGCTCCTCCGGCGCTCCTCGCGCATCCGGGCGCTCTGGGGGGCCAAGGAGAGGCTTCCCTCCTCCTGTCGCGTCCCTGCTGGTGGCAGCGTAGCTGTGCCAGAGAACAGCTTGGCAGCTGTGCCAGAGAACAACTTTGGTTCTTCTCAAAAACGCCCTGGGTGCTTGTTGATAGGTTAGAAACAAACCGTTTTGCATGATAGGCTCTTCACTATCTAAAAATGCTAAAACAATGCGACGATGCTTTAGCTTTTTGAAATCAGTTGTTTTTGTTGCTTGTTTAGGCCCGTCGCTGTGGCTTGTTTTGTAGCGTTTTGTGCCTTCTGGTCGAAGGCTGTTCCTATTCTTCCCTGCTCTCTTCGCTCTCGCTCGTTTCTGCCGCTGTTCTCCTTTCCAGAGCTAAAAAGGTTAGACAATCACGCTCTAACACATGTCTAACACCAGCCCGAAACAGGCCCGTAGGCCCGATGGCCCCAGGAGGGGCAATCGACCATCGGGCCCGCCAGAGTTTTCGCCAGGAGAAGAACTGCACGCCAGGAGAAGCAACTGATGGCGTCGTAGATGGTGATGTTAACAACCATGCAACCAACTGGCCTGAACACGCGAAAAGCGTGGTTGAAACAGAAGAAGCATGAATCGTTTGCTGTTGCTGTTTGAAACAGAAGAAGCATGAGTCGTTCGTTTTTAGTCGAGTCGCTGGGGCATGAAAGCGCCAGACAAATGACTCCCAGCACGCCGACAAAGGGGGGATGGTGGGGGGCGGAGCAGGGCGACCGGACTGCCAGCTCCGTGCTTGCTGCGCCGCGGCGCGGGCCGCCCGGAGGACCCCTGGACTCCCGGCCCCGTGGATCCGGCCGCCCGCCGCGGGCCAGTCGGGCGCCAGGGGCGCCCTCGGGCCCGGGGCTCCGACGGGGGGGGCCGAGGACCGGGCGCCGGTCTGCCTCCCTGACCCCCGGGTCGCAAGTCGGGCGTGTCCCTCCAGAGGAGGGAGGTTCCAAAACGATTCGAAAGAATGGGCCGGGGACCAACCTTTTTCAGGGCATGTTTGGGAACTGTCTGAACATGCTTGGGCTATATCTCCCATTGTTCGTCCACGATGCGCCAGTACGGAGGAGGAGGAGGAGGAGGAGGAGGAGGAGGCGGAGGAGGAGGAGGAGGAGGAGGAGGAGGAGGCGGGAGGAGGAGGAGGAGGGAGGAGGAGGAGGAGGAGGAGGGAGGAGGAGGGAGGAGGAGGACACGTGGGAGGACACGCCCGGCCCAACCTTGGTCCCCTCCGTCGGCGCCCCTGGCCAGAGGGCACCCCTGCCTCCCGACCGGCCCGCGGCGGACCGCCAGCTCCTTGGAGGGGGGGGGGGCCTGGCGGCCCAGGGGAGGTGGGAGCATCGACCCTCCTCCTCCTCCTCCTCCTCCTCCCTCCTCCCTCCTCCCTCCTTCCTCCTCCAGCTGCTCGAGGGGATCCCCGCCCTTACCGCAGCATCCACCCGTCGACCGAACCCCTCCTCCTCCTCGCGCGCATAGCCGCCAGGAGATAGCGCCTGGGATGCTGGCGCGGGCTGCGGGGGCGCCCAGCAGACCCGCGGCGAAGTTGGCAGCACTTCGCATCATACTCTACAACCCGCTGTCGCTGGTGGAGCCCCAGAGGATCAGGGACGTCTGGGAGACCTTGAGGGCGGACATCGTGGTTCTACCAGGGACCAGACTGAGGGCCAGCACGGGGACTCCAATTACCAGAATGTCTTTGGGGAAAGGGGCCATGGCGCTCCATGCAGGCTGGACACAAGGCCCCTATACTAACAAGCACGCGGGCTGCACGATCATGTTCGGGGGCATGTTCAAGGCTAAGCATCTTCGGGCGATCACAGCACCACCGTCAGCTCTTCAAGGCAGGGGACTCGCGGTAAGATTACGCAACCAAAGCATGGACATCAGCATCATAGCAACATACATGCCGCCTCTTAGTGATGAATATGCAAAGAAACGACGGGCCCTCGAGAAGGGCTCGACGCAGATGCTCCAGTGGGCCATCAGAGAGCTCAAGGCTGTTCCGTCACGTTCTACACCGATTCTCTTGGGGGACTTCAATACTCACATGGGCCTCAGAGGTGGACTCCCGACGGTTGCCCCAACATCTCCATATGACTGGTGGGACGACGAGCGGCTCCTGGCGGGGCCATTCAACACGGGCGAGCAAAACATAGTAGGTAACATGATTCAGGACGAGATCCTGGCACCCATGGAGATGTATGATGTCGTCACAGCAGACAAATTTGCGGGGCCGACATATTACGGGAACAAACAGAACAGCAGCACAATCGATCACATCTTCGTGCCGATGGCGGCCAGAGAGCAGATCCTTTCTTGCCGAATAATGTGGCCACAGGCGCGGAAGTTACAGATGATACCGAGCCGTGCACCACGAGATCATGTGCCAATTCTATTACGCCTGACGGTATATCGGAGATATGAGGACCAATCACATGCTTTTTCCAGATGGGATCGGGACAAGTTGGCGGCGGCTGTGCAGCGGGGCCAAGGCCGAAAACACTTCATGGAGGCGCTCGAGACGAAGATGCAGCTCATCCTTCCACAGATCTCACCCCTGGCCCAGTCGGGCCACGTTGATGCGGCGTGGAGACTATGGACCGATGCAGTGGCGGAGATTGGCTTGAGTCACTTCCAGCGCAAGAAAACACTTCCCGACCCAGAACTGACAGCTTTACGTCAACGGAGACTGGAGCTGGTGCGCAGACGACGGCTACTTCGAGAGGGTTTGCAGCTAGCCGATTCACATCTTTCAGTTTCTTCAGAGATGCAGGCACAACCGGCGTTAGAGCGCAAATCCTGGGAGCCCGAGGGGCTCCCAGGTTCACTGTCGCCGACCCCCAGGGCACCCTTTCCACAGGAGGCGAGGGCAACAGCGAGCGGGGTGTTTTGTCGGATCAGAAATCAAGATGGCTTAGATACGAGTGCTCAGATTTCAGAGTTGTTCGACATGCCAGAGGTAACTCGCAGCAGAGCAGGAGCCAGTACATCGAGTTCACAACCGACAGGTGCTACGACCAGAGAAGAGGGCGCGTCACATCAGAGGCCCTTGAGGAGTATTTCTGCCATTCAGAGTGCGACCGAGGTGGACCCAGAACTTCAGGAATTACATGAGATCAAGATTCGTCTTCGACAAGAGACCCGTGCACATTGGACCCGCACACGCCGATGGCTGGAGCATGAGATTGAGGAGGCCAACAGAGCTAGGCGACATGCAGAAGTGCATAAGCTACTATTCCTGCTGGCCGCTAAGCAAGGAGGCCCACGACGGCGAAGGTACAACCTACCGCAGACCTACGAGACGAAGGAGGAGTGGACGGCACAGCTCAGCCTCTCTGCCGCGGGGGGAGGTATGGAGGCCGTACCCTTGGACGTGGAGCGGTTGCTACGACACTTCGATCAACCACCACCACTTCCAGGAGAGGAGGAGCAGGAACGACATGCGTTCTTTGGTCAGAGAGATTTCCAGATGACTCTTCGGCAGTTGCGCAAGAGCCAGAAACGGAGGGCGGCACCTCCGTGGAGTTTCCCCGTCGAGCTGCACCTAATGGCCGCAGACCCCAAGTACCTCTCCGTGGGCCCTGAGGAGCACTTAGGAATTGGATGCACGCCGATAGGGGAGACGAGTATGACGACATCAGCACGCATACTGGAAGATATACATATCGCATGCCGCACGATAGGACGTACTCCGATCTTGGGGAACCTCGCCTGGGCCATACCTATTGCTAAGTTTAACGGCAAGGTCGGTACACTATCCAAACGTCTCATCAACGTGATGCGTCCGTACTGGAAGGGCTTCTACGGGGGCCTGCTGAAAAAAAACATGCACACCCAGGGAGTTCGTTGGCCAGCGGAGTTTCATGGGTTCCTTCCTCGTCGTCGTCGGGAGGATGCGATCGCCGTGCAGCTCTGCATGGGATTTAGATATCGCACGCAGCGCATACCACACCTGAATAACCTGCACGATATGACGAACGCGTTCGCTTCCACGACAGCACGAGCACGTAGACAAGCAATAAATAAGCTTTTCGGACAAGCGGATGCACAACTCATGCACACTCGCTCGGAGACCTCTGGACTTATCATGATTTTCGAAGAGAGCCTGGAAGACCCCTGGAGGAACCCGAGGAACTTAGCTGCACGACACCGCCGAGGAGGACTCATGGGATCTAGTGAAGAGCCGGTAGTCTTTGCGAAGGCGATGGAGCAGCCGATGCGCCAGTGGATCGACCAGCGTGCGACGGCTTCGGAGGTCAAGACTCTCAGATGTGGGATCTTTGGGGGGACCTGTTGTGGGGCGACAACGGTTTGCGCCGACGACATTTTTGATAAGATACCCGTGGAAGACACGACCCCCGAAACGATCAAGACGACCTTAGAGACCAGCGACAGGTTATTGGATGAGGAGTTGGAGGAGGTGGGTTTGATTCAGAACTATAGCAAGAGAGAAACGGTCCCGAGCCTCAGAAGCCATCGTGCGAACAAGTTTTTTTCGCAGGAGTTCGAGGGGGGCAAAGCTCTTCCTCGCGCCAGGTATCTCGGTAGCCGCTACGCGTGGAATCTGTCAAGCATGGAGGAGTTCAGGTACCGCAGCGCTGCGGTCCACGCTGGGTGGGGGAAGATGGGGAAACTGTGGACGAGCAGAATTTCCAGGAGCCTCAAGAGGATGGCCTTCAGGGGCCATGTGGTGGAAGCGGCATTATCCGCAAATGAGCCGTATGTTTTTTCGACCTCTCAGACTCAACAGCTGGACACCCTGATATATAAATACCTACGGGTCCTGGAGAGGGGGCGGGCAACGGAATGGGAAGGCGAACACCCACGCACCCTCCCCAGTTCGGTGCTTCGCCGAAAGTGGCGACTGATGCCGATACGTTTCGAGCAGGCGGCCAGGCGATTCGGGTGGGTGCAGCAGATGGCCAAGGACGCTGTCTCGCACCGCCAGGTGATCGCAGCGATATGGGGTGCACTACAGAGTGGACCCGAGAGCTTGGATGCAGACGGCAAGCTCACGAAGTCCGCGCCTCCGATCGCCACGCAGATTGAAAAAGATGTCTGGACCTATGCTCGCATCAGCGGCTCAGAGGACTTCTTCGAGTCTTGGGAGAGGTGGGGATATTCTTGGAAGGCTTTATTTTTGGAGGAGGAGGTGAGGGAGTACTTTCTGAAGGTAGATGCTAAGTTATTACGAGCAGCTGTTCTGCACGATGGGGAGGAGCTTTTTATATCTCGACTTAGAGGACCCGCACAGGCACTTAGAGAAGAATATGGGCCCCTGGAGGAACCTGGTAGACACGTCTGCACGCTTAAAGACGAGCACGACAACATATGTCCACAAGTATTTGATACACGTAGCGCCCTGTTTGCACACCAGTCTAGATCGAGGGGAGGAGAGCACGGCCGATTAAATCCGCTGTTTTCGTCGGTGATTTCCAATGTTTGCCCGTGGTGCCGCAGTTGTTTCTCGACCAGGGATAGTGCTCGACAACACGTTCGGACGGCCTGGCTTAATAATCGATGTCGACTCCAGAGGACGGCCTTCGCGTGGACCCCGATAACTCCGAAATCATGCGCATGCCCGATGTGTGGAGAGGAACACGACACTCTAGATGATTTTTTGGACCATGCAGTTGAGCAGCATTTACCTCCCCCGCCCGTCGCCATTCTGCCCAGAGCTCCGAGGGTCAGGCTGACGGCCACAGCACGCCCCAGAGCGGTCCGACGCGAGCGCCATGTTGACGCTCAGCGGCGAGGTCGGGGGGGAGAAGAACGAGCGACAGCAGCGCCGCCGCGCCGAGGACCAGCAGAAGGTGGCCAAGACCGCCGCCGGCTACAACGCCGCCAACAAGACGCTCATGGTGCTCATCATGAAGATGATCATGCAGTTGGCGCAGTCGCGCCGCACGGTGGAGGGGATCCTCTTCGACGTCGTGCTGGTGCCTCACGACATGCCAGAGGTAACTCGCATGGCAGAGCAAGGAGCCAAGTACAACGAGCAGGTCCAGGCCAAGGGCAAGGGCCACAGCCTCGGCGCGCCTCATCTGTACGTGTTCGGGGGCCTGCTGGAGGCGCTGATAAATCGGCAGGAGAGCATCGGCAAGGCGAACCTGGCGAAGCTGCAGGAGATGAAGGGACGCTTGAGCACGATGGACTACGCCGACCGCATGGACATCATCAAGTTCACCAAGCTCGACAGGTGCTACGACCAGACGAAGAGGCGCATCACTTTGTGCTTGGGCGACGGCCGCAAGGAGGTGATCGGAGCGCTGGTCCAGCCTGGGGGGGAGCTCAAGTCGGGGAGGGCGCCAGCGACACACATGGAGCGCGAGATGCAGGAGTGGCTAGAGACGTTCTTGGCCTAGATACGAGTGCTACTCAGATTTCAGCGTTGCTCACGGAGACCGAGAGAACGACACGTTCCCGTCTTGAATCAGTGGTGGATTCAAGCAATGCAGTCTCGACGGCTACTCCGAGAGCAACGCATATCGATTCGCATCTTTCAGTTTCTTCAGAGAATCAACAGCATATTGATTCACAGCTTGCAGTGTCGTCAGAGACACGTGAGCCAGGCAGGGAGGCCCAGGCCGCAGCATACAAACCTCTGAGTATGTGGAAAGAGAGAATGACGGCATCGTCCTCATCTCGTTCTATCCCACCTCCATCGCCATCCTGTTCCTCCAGATCCCCGTGGACCCTGAGGCCCTTGAGGAGTATTTCGCCGACCCCGAGGATTGCGCCCAGGAGTCCTCAGAGGTTATCTTCTGCATCCCAGAGGCCCTTGAGGAGTATTTCGCCGACGGCGCCGATTGCCCCCAGGAGTCCACAGATGATATCTTCAGGTTCGCAGAGGCCCTTGAGGAGTATTTCTACGCCCCCAACGATTGCCCCCAGGAGTTCCAGTAGTTTTTTAGGCCCGATGGAAGTAGGAGAGGAGGTGAGAAAGGCGACGGATAGGTACATTCAGGGCATGGGGGGGAGGCTGAAATCGGTCTGACCCTTCCCCAGAAATTAGCTGTGGAAAGATTTTTGTCGGCCCAGGGAATCCCCAGGGACTCGGCGCGTTGGGAGGCCCTGTTTAGGAGCAGGCATGTTCAGGCTATGGTTCAGCGAATAGGGTGAGGTGTTTTTTTGCCGTGGGTCTGGACACGGGTAACTCGTACTCGCGTTTGGAGCCTCGGGCAGTGGGCCAGTTTACGGTCTAGCCTTGGGGCTAGTGTCCCAGGCGTTTTTGGATCCGTTTTTAAGGATAGTCTCTGGGCCTTTTGAATCTCCCCCGTAGGTGGACGAACCTGGCCCCAACGGAGTGTTTCTTCTTCTTCTTCTTCCTTCCTCCTCCTCCTCCTCCTCCTCCTCCTCCTCCTCCTCCTCCTCCCTCCTCCTCCTCCTCCTACTCCCTCCTCCTCCTCCTCCTCCTCCTCCTCTTCCTCCTCCTCCTCCTCCTTCTACTCCTCCTCCCCCGTGTTCCTCCTCCTCCTGAACCCGCAGCTTACCATCGCTCGCACGTCCATTCATCCATTCCTCGTGCGTTTTTCTGTTTCGTGCCTGCTTGTTTTGCCAGACGTCGCCCGTTCGTGGCCGATCGGGGCCTCGGGTGCCCCACCCCGTCCAGGGGCGTGCGCCTTCGCCACCGAGGGCCCGACGCCGATCGGTCGGGGATCCATGGCCGCTTCCGCGCTAGCGCAGTGGAGCCATGCATAGCCAGGACCCCAGGTAATCAAGGGAGGAAAAATCACCCAGACCGGACAATTCCCCAATCAGAGCTTGCCTCTGTAGGGGTCCTATAGCGGATTAAAGGCTGAGGTGAGAGGTGCGGCCGATTTCGGTGGCCGGGCCCGGGTGCCCGGGTGCCCGGGTGCCCGGGTTCGCCGCCGATTCGGTGGCCGGGCCTTGCAGGTGCCCGGGTGCCCGGGTGCCCGGGTGCCCGGGTGACGGGTGCCTGCATGGTGCCCGGGTGGGTGCCCGGGTGCCGGGTGCCTGGGTGCCCGGTGCCCTGTAGCCCTACAGCCTTATAGCCCTACATCCCTATCGCTTTATAGCCCAGTAGCCTTATAGTAGCCTTATAGCCATATGGACCAATAGCCCTATAGTTCTATAGCCCCAAACAAATTTTGATTGGTTTTTTTCTCCGGTATCATTGGCGTTTACTAAACGGCCTTGGGCGTTTGCTAAACAGCCTGCCCTTTTTGATTCCTTCTTTGGGTGCGTTCACTAAACGGCTTCGCGTGTCGGGGTGGTTATTCTCGGGGTGGATGTTCTGCCTTCTAGGTAAGGGGACTGGGGGACCGGGTCAGTAGCAGGGCCCCTAGATTGGCCAGAGTCACGAGACCAGGTCTGCCGTAGCTGGTGTTTTTCGGGTGACGGCAGTTCCAGTTGGTGGAACGGGGCCTGGGGGGCGCCCCCCAGTACACATCACTAAACCAGGTCCCACTAAACCCAGTTCTGCCAACGCCCGATGGAAGCCCATGCCAAGACACACCCTGCTTGCCTTCAGGGTGCCCTGGGTTGCGTGGGTTTCGACGGTTCTGCTGTGGACAGCGCGAGGTTCCCACACCACACATCAATGGACGCCCTGGGGTCTCAGGGATGGGCTTCTTGTGGAAGATTTCTTGTTGTCGAGCTCCTGCTGTAGTTCCCCGATGTTCCCCCCCTCCTCCCCTTTAGCGATGGGCCTTTGGCGCGCCGCGCCAGGACACTCGAAGGGGTCTTGCACCCCTTCGAGCCCAGCGCAGCCCAGCCGAGGGCAGTGAACCGAAAGCGGCACGTCCCTACAGCCGTCGTTCGGCGGCGAGCGAGGGGGGGGAGAGCGAGAAGTAGAGGGGGCACGAGCGCGGACGCTGTGCTCTGAAAGTGTGTGACAAGGTGCCTGCTCCCCTGTGTCTGTAAGGGGGGAGGGGCATGGGAGGCGGGGGCCCGCCTCGAAGACGCCCTCGAAGCTGAGGAAGCCCCTCAGGAGGCGGCGGGGCTTCTCAAAAGCCCTCGCGCCTTCTGGGAAGTGCTCTGCGTCTTCGGGGAAGGCTCATAGCACTCCTCGGAAGGTCGGGGGACTTCCGCGCCTTCTGAGAAGGCCCGCCCCTTCTCACTTCCCCCTGCCGCGACGTCGTCGTCGCCATGTCGTTGTCGCCGCCGCCGCCGTCGCCGCGGGCGGGCGTCCAGAGCGACAGCCTCGACTGGCGCCGGGTGGTCGCAGAGAGCAGCCAGGGGGCGGGGCGGGTGCGCGCTGCCCCCTGCTCAGGACATGGGCATCGAGCAGGTCCTGATCGGCCACTCCGAGCGCCGGGGCGACTCCCTCCTCCCTCCTCCCTACTCCTTCCTCCCTCCTCCTCCCTCCTCCTCCTCCTCCTCCTCCTCCTCCTCCTCCTCCTCCTCGTCTCCGACCAGGGGCAGGAGGCCTTCGCCACCCTGCTCAACATGGTGGAGCGAGCTCTGGCGTGGCCGCACCAGCTCCTCCACAACTGGTACGTCCTCCTACCGAAGGGCGCCAAGCAGGTGGTCGGTAACGAGAGGGATATCGGCCTCCTCCCCTTGCCCGTGCGCATCTGGGGCCGCATGACCAATGCCGCCATGACGCAGTGGTGCGATAAGCGTGCTGGGCACTGGGATGCTGCGGTGCGTGGGAGCTCCGCGCTGCAGGCTGCATTGCTCACCATGGTGCTTGACGAGACCAGAGCGCACGTGGGAGTGGCCGAGCAGAGCAACTTCTTGATGGACGTGGAGAAGTTCTACGACTACATCGACCTGGCCATGATGATCCACAAGGGCATCTCCCTCGAGGTGCCGCCCGTCGAGCTCTACCTTTGCTGCCTCACGTACCTGGCGCCGCGGGTGGTCAAGTCTCACGGGGCATACAGTTCGACCATCGTCCCCAACTGCTCAATCCTCCCAGGCTGCTGGAAGGCCAACCACTGGGCAAGAGCCTTCCTCTACCACCTGTTGGAAGCAGCCCACGCGAGATCACCCGTGGCAAGGGTGAGGCAGTATGTTGACGATGTGCACAGCCGTATCGAGGGCACGGCTGAGGAGGTCCTCGACCATACCAAGGACGTCGCGGTCACCCTAGTGCAGGGCTGCCTCGACCTCGGCCTGCGGGTTTCGCCCAAATCCATCCTGATGATGACGAGGCCCAGAGACGAGAAGGAGGTGCTGGCCCACGTGTACCTGGAGACTGGCATTCGCGTGCAGAGGGCGTCCACGGCTAAGGACCTCGGCATCGACTGCACCATGGGCTTCAGGCGAAGCAATAAGACGGCCAGAACGCGGATGACGGCAGCGAGGGCGAGGGCTACGCGAGCTTGTCTATTCCGCAGGGTGGGTCGCGGCAGCAAGAGGACCAAGGGAGTCATGCTGCACAACACCAACATCAGGGCAAAGTGCCAATTCGCCGACCCGATCATTGGAGTGCCTCCTGCTACGACAACGCGGCGACGGGCACAGGCTGCAGTCCTCACGGGCCGCACGGTGGGGGGACGTTGCACCTCTACCACCCTCCTGCTGCACTACCGGGACGACGAGCCTAAGATGGCGGCCTTGGCACAGCAGGTGAAGGAGTGGTTATATTTCTGGGCGCGCCACTCGGAGCTGCGAGACCGAGTTCGACTTGGATGGCGGGCGGTACTCAATAGACTCCTGTACTTGCGACCTCGTGCGCGGTGGAAGTGCGTCACGGGGCCCATGGGCGCGGTCATCCTGGCACTACGCGACACCGGCTGAATACATCGGGCGCCTGACGTCTGGATCGACGACGAGGGCTCCGAGTGGCGGCACCTCGGCAACGAGGACGACAGCGTGCAGGACCTAGTGAAGGCGATCAAGAGCACCGTCACGCGCCAGCTGTGGCGCCAGGCAGGGGACCACCCCCACGGAGCGGGCCTCGGCGACGGCGGCGACCTCCACATGCTGCGGATCAACCTGAGGAGGATGCGCCGCCAGGAACGCCACAAGGAGGCTGGCGCTCTGGAGGCTGGAGCGCTGGCAGGCATCTGGACGGGTGCAAGGGCGCAGGCGGCAGGCTACCAGTGCTCCGACGATTGCGAGCGCTGTGGCGAGGGCAAGGACACCATCGAGCACAGGCTGTACTTCTGCGAGGCCACCTGCGAGATGGGGGGCCCCTGGATCGTGCGCACTGAGGGCCTCCGCCAGCATGCGATAGAAGATCTGTTGGGAAATCGTCACGATGCATACTGGACCAGGGGGATAGTTCCCCCAGAATGGGTTGCCGTGCCGCCGCCGCCCGCCTGGAACTCTGGAGAGGGGTTGGGCGTTTGGGCAATCGGCACCCCCCCCCGATCCTCGACTCCTCTTCGAGCGACGTCCTTCCTTCCTCCACTCCTGCCCTCCCGAATGCTGTCTCATTCAATGTAGGAGCAGGTGAATGCCCCATCCGCGCGCGACTGGCATTCCTGGACGGGTCGGCCACTTCCAGCGATGCCCGTGTTTGTCGGGTGGGGTGGGGTGTCTACTTTGTGAGTGAGTGGGCGGAGCTGGAAGCGGACGACGGCGAGTGTTCTAGTTTCTTCGGTGCTGTCGACGGGGACCAGGCGGTCCCCGTCGCGGAGCTGGCTGCCCTCTGGAGGGCGCTGCAGCTATCCACGGGGGACCTGGGCATTTTCACCGACTGTCAGCTGGTCTTTAACGGCTGGGTCCAAGGGAATGCCCAATATCCCACGGGCTGCCACGCCAAATGGTGGGCCCGAATTCGGTCGGCCCTCGAACAGCGGGGGGGCCAGAATGTCCGCCTGCACAGAATCTTCTTGCACCTGGATGCAGATTCCCACGTGCGCGCTGGCCAGGATCCTCGATGCTCCCGTGGCAATGAGCTCGCGGGTGCCCTGGCCCAGCGGGGGGCCGAGACTGCCGCCTCCCCAATTCGAGCCCATGTCAAGGCTCTACAGGTGGCCGACGCCCGTGCGACCCTCGTACACCAGCGCATCGGTGCGGTTTTGGCACCGATTTGTGCGGAGGTCGAACGGGGGGCTCGCTCGAATCTGCTCGGCGGGGCGAACGGTTCGGTCGGATCCACTGCGGGCCTGGGACGAATTGAGGAGCTCGATGCCCGTTCGGGGCATGCCCTGTCCCGCCTGAGCACTGGTAGGTGGGTCTGTAGCAAATGCCGGCAAACACCAGGGCGCCTCTCGTTGGCCGATTGGCTCCAGTGCAGTGCGTGTCGCGGGGATGCATGTAAGAGGGGCTTGAGCGAGCTGGGCCACCACGTCCACGTCCCCCCACCTGTATCCGAGAGTTGAAGGTTGGAGCCCCGCAGTGTGCACCCCTCCCACTCTATTGCTATGCAGAATGGTCTGGCCTGGTGCTGGAGGTGCGCCAGGTACGCCCCCGTTGTCGCGGGGGGGGGGGGGGGGGCGTCTCTGTAAACTGGCCCAGGGGTGCCCCCAGGAGCGCACCCCCTCTGGCCAGACTATGATCAATCGTCTCCGTCGCGGCCTCACCCCGAAGGCGGGGATGGCGTGGCCCATACCTCCTGTGGGGGGTGGCGGATCTGCTCCCATGCCAGTGGTCGGCAGCTCGGCCAAGGATTTTGGGAGGATGACCGACGGGAGTGTAGGCGGCTCGCTCAAAGCCCCCCCCGCCGACGTAGATCATAATCTCTCTTCAGATTACCAGTGCTCTGCACGTGGGGGGGCGCAGCACTGCTCCGACCCCCTTGTGGTCGAGTTTCCCGAGTTTCTTCTCCTCCTCCTCCTCCTCCTCCTCCTCCTCCTCCTCCTCCTCCTCCTCCTCCTCCTCCTCCTCCTCCTCCTCCTCCTCCTCCTCCCCCTCCCCTCCCTCCCTCCCTCCCCCTCCCTCCCTCCTCCCTCCCTCCCTCCCCCCTCCTCTCCTCCCCCCTCCCTCCCTCCCTCCCTCCTCCCTCCTCCCCCTCCTCCCTCCTCCCTCCTCCCTCCTCCCTCCTCCCTCCTCCTCCCTCCCCCTCCTCCCTCCTCCTCCTCCCTCCTCCCTCCTCCCTCCTCCCTCCTCCTCCTCCCTCCTCCTCCTCCTCCTCCTCCTCCTCCTCCTCCTCCTCCTCCTCCTCCTCCTCCTCCCCCTCCTCCTCCTCCCCTCCTCCTCCCTCCTCCTCCTCCTCCTCCTCCTCCTCCTCCTCCTCCTCCCCCCCTCCCCTCCTCCTCCCCCTTTTCCTCTCCCTCCCTCCCCCTCTCTCCTCCCTCCCTCCTCCTCCCTCCTCCCTCCCTCCTCCTCCCTCCTCCCTCCTCCCTCTCTCCTCCCTCCCTCCTTCATGGGGAGGGGGGCAGAGGAGGGGAACGTCAGGCGTGTTCAGAGGGAGAAACATGTCCTCCCTCCTCTCTCCTTCCATGGGGGGGGAAGACAGAGGAGTGGAACGTCCGACGAGCTCAGGGGGGGAACAATGTTCTCCCTCCTCTCTCCTCCCTCCTCCGTCCTTCCATAGGGGGGGGCAAGAGGAGGGGAACGTCAGACGGGCTCAGGGCCTCCAGGCATGGCGCAACTGGAAACACCCAGACGGGGCCCCACCCGCGGAATGTGTTGACCGCCATGATCCGACGTAGGCCTCTATTCAGTGCTGCTGGTTCCGTAGTCCAGGAACGGTTCCTGTGCAGAGCGTTTCCGTCCACGCTGCGGGCTTGCGCACCGCTTTTGCGTTTGATTGCGAGGGCAAGCGAAGTGTTTGCGGGACCCCTGCTGGGCTGCTCTGCTCACCACGCCCCTGGCGCTCCCGGCCGTGGTCTGCGCATGTGCACCCACGACGCCACGCTGGTGGTGGAGAGCGTGGGCCTCGGCGCGCCAGTATTCGGGCGTTTCTTGGCCAGGCGAGCAGGACGTCGTCTTGCGTGGCATTCGCTTGGGCACCGCCAGGGTACTGGACGCCCCAGCTGCCCCAGGCACGGGTGGACTGGCTGCTACTGCGGCGGCTGCGCCGCCACGGGGGATCGCTCCAGCGTAGCCCAGGTTGTGGTGCGATATTGCAGCGTTGCCATACCTCGGAGGAGGAAAAGGTACCCATACCTCTACCCCTTCGCCCGTTTCCCCTTTTGGGATTTTTGGACCTCCTGGGAGGCCCTCGTCGCCACCGCTGGATTCGCCTCGAAATCGTGGTCAGAACGCGTCCAAACTCCCCCTGTAGGGGGACAAGCCCGACTTACGGCTAGTGGTCCTGCGCCCTCGTGGAGAGAGCGGCCTCCACGACCCCAGGAGGGGGATCGGGAGCCGCTCCCGCTGTGCTGCCTCTGCAGAGGCGGGGGGCGCGCGAGTGCGGCGTCGTGGTGCAGCTCCGCCTTCTGGCTCTCGTGCTCCCGCCTCGGCCCCTCCCGTCGTCAGGTGCAGCACCTTACGTGCGCCGATGTCGCTCGGTGTTCGTGCAGGCTCCACGTGCAGCGTCCCGACGGAGGGCTCTTGTGGGCGCAGGGCTCCGAAGCACGTGGGGCTGCCCGCAGTGAAAAGGCGTTGGGTCATCGGCCGGCACCTCTGCCTCCCCCCATCGGATCTCTTGGGTTATCGCCGCTACACGCCGGTCGTTGAGAGCAGGTATTTTTGGGATTCCAGATCCCAATCTATTGCAAGCGCCTTCCTACCTCAAGAGTCGACACGCTTTTGCTGTGTTCTGTTATTCCCTGGGGGGGCCTGGGCCCAATCCACTTAATCCGCCTTCCTACTTCATGTTTCTACCTACTTCTTCCGACCGACGTGTAAGTAAAAGACGATCTCCACATCTTTGCCCAGGGCCTCGCGGTTCGCACTCCTCGGCCACCGCCCCCATGGATGCAGGGGGGGGTGGCCCTGTACACGGACGCCCCCGCCGCGCGCCAACCATGGGCACGCGCAGCCACGGTGCCCCGCCTCTCGGCAGCCCGTCCTCGAGGGCACGGCTACGGCGCTGGTCGCCGCTTGTGTTGTTTGGCCGCCGCGTCTCTTCGTCTCTGTGTCTCTCGTGCGTTTTTTCGTTCGTCTTTTGCAGTGCGATGTCCAGCCCTGCTCGCCTCCGCCCTGCCTGCAGCCTGCAGGAACTACCGTGCAGGCGCACCCCGTTCGGAGGTGCGGGCCTCGGGGCCTGTTAGCGCCCAGGGCCAGAAAGGCTGCGGGCCAAGAAGTTGACGTTTGTGATGTTCGGCTGCGGCGTATCTTCGTCTCTGTGTCTCTCTCTCGTTCTGGCCGGACTTTTCAAGCTGCCGCACCTCATCGCGCTCTGCGGGCTCCGTCTCCTCCCCACCCATCGGTGCTCGGCCGCCGTTCCGTTGCTCTCCTGCGATGTCAGTGCGTTGCCCTCCCTCGCCTCCGCCGCGGTTGCGGAGGACTTTCCGCAATCTGTGCGGAGTCGGATTGGTTCCCAGATGGCGCCATCTCTCTCCTGCACTTCTCGCGGGGGGAGTCGGCATCGCCCTAACATACTAATATTGTGTGTGCGTCGCCCCCCCAGGGGCGACGCGCGCCCCGAGAAGTCTGATAGTACATGCGCCGTGGCGGGCGCGTTCTGGCCGCACCGCCCGGGAAACGACACACCACAAGATGGGTATACTATATGATCGGGTCGGACGCGCGCCTCCAAGGAGGACATCTGATACGAGCATGTCTCTGTGCGTCCCAGGGAACGTGCCGCGCCAGACATGGCCGCGGGAGCCCGAGAGGAGACCGCCGAGCCCCGCCGCCCTGTTCGCGAGGCGAGTTCGGCATCTTCCCCATGGACGACAACAACACGCTGGCCACCAAGCTCAAGGACGGTCGCGCGCGCGGCGAGCCATCCAGAACCCGAGGACCTCACCCGCCTTCCCCCCTTTCCTCCAGTCTTGAGTCGGGCGTGTCCCTCTACAGGAGGAATATTCACACATAGTCAGACAAATAGTATGGGGACTATCTTTTGAAACTATGTTTGAAAATGTTCGGATAGTGTTTGACTATTTTCATGTTTCGTCCCAACTCCGCATGTAGGGGGACATGCCCGAGCTAACTCCAGTCTCCAACCCCGCTTCTCCTTTCAGGGACAACTTTAGGGGGGATATGCTCAGGGGGGGATGCATCGACCCCCAATCGCCCAACGGTTGCCGATAGAGGCCCGATGACCCATTCCGCCCAGGAGCGTGCGGCTACGATTTGCTCCAGCGCCCGCGTGAAGATGACTCAGCAACTGCGTTGAACTGTGATCCGATGATGTGGCGACTTGCAGCGCCTCGTTCGGGGCCGTCGGTTCGCCTCCGCCCCCCTATCCCGTCGCCCTCGGGGCGTCGTCGGGGCGTCGTGGGGGCAGGGCTCGCGTGCGGCCCTCCACGAGCAGGCCGCCCCCCCCCTCCGCGCCCCCCCCCCCGCGGAGCTCGAGCCGGCGACCCGGGCGGAGCCGCTCCCCCGCGCCGCGTGTGCTCGACGACCACGCACGGCGCGGGGGAGCGGTCTTTCTCTGTGTGGGATTTTCTCTCTCTCTCTCTCTCTCTCTCCCTCTCCCTCCCTCCCCTCCGTTCTTTCTGTTTTTTGCTGGGGGGTCCCTCTCTCTCTCTCTCCCTCTCCCTCTCTCCCTCTCCCTCTCTCTCTCTCTCCCTCCTCCGTCGGCGCGGGGCACTCCCCAGCGCCACGTGCGACCGACGATCACACGTAGCGCTTGGGAGTGTTTGTTTGTACTTCTCTCCCTGCCCTCCGTCTTTTTTTGTAGTTCTCTCTCTCTCTCTCCCTCTCTCTCTCTCTCTCCCTCTCCCTCTCCCTCTCTCTCCCCCTCCTCCGTCAGCACGGGGCGCGGAGGCGGCGGGGGCGGCAGGGATCGCACGGCGGCCGCCTGGCGCTCGTGAGACACGGAGCCCTCCAGCTCGCGCTTCGCCGCCCCCCTCCCCGCTTTCCTCTCGTGCCCCTGATGGGCCTGCTTTCCACCACCTCCTCCTCCTCCTCCTCCTCCTCCTCCTCCTCCTCCTCCTCCTGGCCCTCCTCCTCCTCCTCCTCCTCATCCTCCTCCTGGCCCTCCTCCACCCCTTAGTTGGAGGGGGAAGGAGGTGGAAGATGGGGAGGAGGCAGAAGAGGAGGAGCACCCCCTCCCCCTCCTACTCCATACTCGTGGTGGTGGCGATGGAAGACAAGCCCACCAGCCCCGCCGCCCGGTCCCGCCCCTTCGCTCGCGGCCACCCCTTGTCCCCCATCCGCCCGCTGTCGCCCCCTCCCCCCCGTCTCGAGGCGCACTTCGCCGCCCCCCGCTCTCCTCTCGTGCCCCGCCGGCCCGGTCCGCCCCCCTTCGCTCGCTGCCGCCCCCCTGCCTGCCCCCTTGGCATCGCTCGGACGTGTGCACTTTCCCTTCGGCGAGGACCATCGAGGAGCATCCGTGATCATTTGGCGGAAGGCCACGCACGAAACCGAAGAAGACACAGGGAATGGACGTCCGAGCGATGGCGAGCTCCCTCTCCCGTGCGTGGGCGCGGCCGGCCGTCTGCCGGGGCCCGCGGCTCTGTGGGGCAAGCAGTGTCGAAGCGTCCTGGCTCGCCTACAGGCCCACGAGAGAATGTTCTGAGACTCTCTTGTGGTCTGCACGACGTGTTCTCGGAACAGTTCTGGCTGGGACTGTCTTGTTTCAGTTTATCGGGTTCACGCTCTGAGAGCATCGTCCTTCCTCTGAGAACAGTTTCGGGTTCCCAGAACGTCTCGTGGTAGGCCTGTAGGAATGCCGGGGCGGGAGCGCGCCGACCTCCCTCCTCCACCGTCCACCCGCCTTCTTCCTCGCGCTGCCGCCCTTCCCCCCGCCCGCCCCACCTTTTTGCTCTTCTCTTTCGCCGCGCCACCCCGCCGCAGGAGGAGGACGAGGCGGAGGCGGAGGCGGAGGCGGAGGAGGAGGAGGCGGAGGAGGTGGAGGCGGAGGAGGCGGAGGAGGTGGAGGCGGAGGAGGAGGAGGAGCCCCCTCCGCCTCCCTCCCCCCCCCGCCAGCGCCGCCTCCCCCCGTTCTCTCTCTCCCCGCTCCCCGCGCCCGTCCGCGCCGAGTACATCTTGGACGCCGGGATGTCGTGCGTCTACTGCATCGGTGAGCCTAAGGACGGGGCGCGCTTTCGCAGTGCTCCTCGTCGCTCTCGTTATTCTGCGTCCTCCATGAGGGGGGATCGAGCTGCACGAGGCCTTTCGGAAAGCCTTCGGCCTCGATGCGGATGCTAGGCCTTGGTCGTCCCTCGTCCCTCGGTGCTCTGGGGGGATCGAGGATCGAGGTTGTCGACGTTAGGGGATATGGTGTGGGATCCAGCAACTTCTGGAGACCTCCAGACACTCCTGGATACTCCTTGGGCCACCTCTGGTCTCAGTCATCCTCTTTTTATGGCTCGACACGGCTGAGCAGCAGGACTGCACACGGAGGTTGGAGGAGTAGGAATAGTAGTAGTAGTAGTAGTAGTAGTAGTAGTAGTAGTAGTAGTAGTAGTAGTAGTAGTAGTAGTAGTAGTAGTAGTAGTAGTAGTAGTAGTAGGAGGAGGAGGAGGAGGAGGAGGAGGAGGAGGAGGAGGAGGCGGCATATGAGCAGGAGACGCTGAAGAGAAGCGTGATGCGCTCGCGGCCGGCAGGTCAGGCCAGCGCAGGCCCATTGCAGGCGCAGGCCTCGGCCAGGTCTTGCTAGACCTGGGCTCGGTGTATAGCAGGCATCCTCGTCGCTCCCACTGGTGTCCACCATGGCGCCTCGTGTCACCCTCGTTCTCGTCGTCTTCGTCTCGGTAATTCTTTTAAGGCGTCATTCCTGAGGCTACGCAGTCCTCAGAGGATCCCCGGTAGTCTGCCCCGCTCTTTCGCAGCCTTGCTGGCTTAGGCGACGCGACGATTTTGAGTTGGAGCCGCATGCAAACACGAGCGGCATCCTCTCCTCCCCCTCCTGCCCCCCCCCTCCTCCTCCTCCTCCTCCTCCTCCTCCTCCTCCTCCTCCTCCTCCTCCTCCTCCTCCTCCTCCCTCCTCCTCCTCCTCCTCCTCCTTTCTTCCTCCTCCCTCTCCTCCTCCTCCTCCTCCTCCTCTCCTCCTCCTCCTCCTCCTCCTCCTCCTCCTCCTCCTCCCTCCTCCTCCTCCTCCTCCTCCTCCTCCTCCTCCTCCTCCTCCCCCACCGGCCCTCCGGCACATGGTGCAGACACAGGCTCTGCGGACAAGCCTCCCTTCTCCGCCCCCTCGCCGCGTCGTGGAGATTGGCCTCCGCCGCCCCCGTCTCGTCCTGATCCCCGCCCTCCTCCGCCTTCTGCGCCCGGCCGCCGCCGCTCCCGCATCCTCCGCCCCCCTTCCGTCCCCGCCGTCTTCGTCCTCCGGGCCCCTGCCGTCATCGACGCCTCCTTCGGTGTCAGTGTCTCCCGCCTCCTCCCCTTCCTCATTCTCTTCGTCCCTTCCTCATCCCCTCCTTGCTCCTTCCTCCCTTCCCTTTCCCCCCCTTCCTTTTTCCTTCCTCCCTTCCCCTTTCCTCCCCCTTTCCTTCGGCGTCATGGTCCTCTTACACCTGTCACCACGCTGTCACAAACATTGCGCCACATGTGCATATTTAGAAATTTTCAGCTGTCTGTATTTTATTATTATGCTTATTCTTCTTATTATTATTATTATTCTTCTTATTATTATTCTTCTTATTATTATTCTTCTTCTTCTTCTTCTTCTTCTTATTTCTCTCTCTCTCTCTCTCTCTCCCTCTTTCTTCCTCTCTTCGGCGACCGGCTGGACGGCCAGGAGATCCGCGAGAAGGGGCTGGACGCTGTGCTGGAGGAGATGCACGTGCAGCTTACTCCCATCTACGGTCGGGGGCGGGACTGACGATGACGAGGGCAAACATGATGACAAGGATGATCCCGAAGATCCCGGAGTCTCAATTTTTCCGAGCCGGGCGTTATTCGCCCTCTTTCGGGCCCTGGGGCCCTCACAGATCGATCCGGCTCGAACGGGTCTGGGGAGTTGGTCGTGATTTTCACGATGCTGATTTTTGTTGTCGTTGCGACGGATCTCAGGGAAGGATGAGGACGACCATGATGACAAGGATGATTGTTCTCGCCTCGCGGGGCGCACGTCCTGAGCGTGCGAAGCCTGGGCGATTAGACCGCATCTTGAGGCAGGATGAAGAGGAGGCGCTTTGGAGGTCTTTTGGGGTCTTCGAAGCTTCTTGCGGGCATCTTTGGAGCCTCGGGAGCTTCTGGTGGCTATGTGCCTCCCTTCGGGGGCCATCTTGGGGGTGGAGAGCTCCCAGGGAGACTTCGACTCGGTGGCCCACTCTGCTGCCGCCTCCCCGGCTGAGCCATCCTGTGGCTACATACTGGGTCAGTGTCTAGGCCATTTTGGGGGGCATGGTGTGCAAATGGCGCGCCAGTGGATCTCCCAGCAGCTGAAGAGGATGGGGTGTGCTAGTGGACGCCTTCCCCCGTCTGTTTCCCCTCCCCTCCCTCCTCCTCCTCCTCCTCCTCCTCCTCGTCCTCCTCCTCCTCCTCCTCCTCCTCCTCCTCCCCCTCCTGCTCCCCACCTTGACTCCAGCGAAGCCCGACTCCCTCTCCCCACCCTTTGGCCGCGGGACGGGGCGGGACGTGGCACCCGTCGGCCCGTGGGAGGAGGGGCCAGGGTCAAAATGTTGTTCGAGTGTTATGATGTTCCAGCCTACTTTTAAGTCGGGCATGTCCCTCCACAGGAGGAATTTTCAAAAATAGTAAAAAAATAGTCTGGGAATTATTTGTTCAGCTTTTTGTGCATTTTTGGAGTATGTTTCGGGTATGTTTGATTTTTCGTTCAAAATCCGCCTGTAGGGGGACATGTCCGACCTAATGTTATGATGTTCCAGCCTGCGTTAGCCTGACCCACCAGAAAGAATCTCGATCACCGAGAAAGTACCGAATCTCGACGGTTTTCACGCGTCGGGCCCTGGGAGACACTCTCTCGACACTGTTTCGATACTCTTTCGACACTTTTCCAGGTGCTCGAAATTATTTCTGGGATGTGGTCCTTAAGTACGATGGCAGCAACATAATTCGAGTGAGGGTCTTAGGATTTAGGATTTGGGATTAAATCTTGGGGGAAGCGTTCATGGTGAGGGTGCCAGGGTTTGGGGTCTTCCAGTTCAGGCTCCCCCCCGTGCGACTTCCAGCGCTGCTGCGTTGCAGCAAGCGTCAGGCAGGCACGAACCGGATGACAAAAACGACGACGACCAGGGGAAGGGCGACGTTGACTGTGACGTGGGGAAGGACGACGAGGATCAGGGCGAGGAGAAGTACCGGGACGAGGCAGCGACGCCGAGCGAGTGGCAGATGTTTGGCGGCTCTGGGCCGCAAAGGGGGCGGGGGCGCGTGAACGAAGTCATGAGGCCATGCGATGCGGAGCCAAGAAGGCTCACTGACACGGACACAGGATGGTTGCCAGTGCTAGGACTAAGTCGGGCCCGTCCCTCTACAGGAGGAATATTAAAAATAGTCCAAAAATAGTTTGGGGACTATCTTTTGTGCACTTTCGGACCATTTTGGAGTACTTTTGTTTTTTGTGTTTTGTATTTTTCGTCCAAAGTCCCCCTGCAGGGGGACACGCCCGATTTAATGCTAGGAGCCTCGCTGATCTTGCTGCCGCCCGCCAGACACCGCTGCCACTGATCGCTCGCCCCCAGCTCGGGCACACACCAGGCCGGGGCGCACGGAATGCCCTGCGACTGGCGCAAGTTCATCCCACATGCCAAGGGACGTCGCAAGAAGAGTTGAGCTACCGTACTGCTGGGATCTGTGCGATGGTCTCTCCTTTTTGTTTCTTTCTCTCTCTCTCTCTGTTTCTCACTCACTCTGTCTCCCTCCCTCTCTCTCTCTGTCTCTGTTTTGTATTGCATTGTCTCTCTATGTATCTGGATCGCTCTTATATGTATGTGAAATACGTACCATATGTATGTATGTATGCATGTATATGTGTATGCATGCATGCATGCATGCATGAATGCATGTATGTATGTATGTATGTAGGTATGTACGTATGTATGTATGTATGTATGTGTGTATGTGTGTATGTGTGCATGTGTGTATGTATGTATGTATGTAGGTATGTAGGTAAGTATGTATGTATGTGTGTATGCATGCATGCATGCATGCATGCATGCATGTATGTATGTATGTATGTATGTATGTAGGTATGTATGTATGTATGTCTGTATATATGTGTGTATGTGTATGTATGTATGAATGAATGTATGAATGTGTGCATGTATGTATGTATGCATGCATGCATGTATGCATGCATGCATGTATGTCTGCACATATGTATGCAAACATGCATGTACGCATGTATATGTGTATGTATGTGTGTGCTTATGTATGTATGTATGTATGTATGCATGCATGCATGCATATATGTATGTATGTATGTATGTATGGATGTATGTATGTATGTATGTATGCTTGTATGTATGTGTGTATGTATGTAAGTATGCATGTATGTATGTATGTATGCATGAATGTATGTATGTATGTACGTATGCGTGTATGCGTCTATGTAAGTATGTGCATGCATGCATGTGTGTATGTATGCATGTATGTGCGTATGTATGTATGTGTGTATGTATGTATGTATGTATGTATGTATGTATGTGTAGGTATGTATGTATGTATGTATGTATGTATGTATGCATGCATGTATGTATGTATGTATGTATGTATGTATGTGTGTGTATGCATGCATGCATGCATGCATGCATGCATGCATGCATGCATGTATGTATGTATGTATGTATGTATGTATGGATGTACGTTTATATATTGAGCAACCTACTCACTGTTACATGCACGCACCTGCGCTCCGCTTGCACAGCGAAGGAGGCATCTGTGTGTACACCACCATGCCTGGCCAGGGCCGTCATCAGTCCCAGGACGCTGTGCAGGCTCCCAAGGCGCATGCACCACGCCAGGGACCAAGACGCCCCTGTCCAGGCATGACGTGGATCAGGGGCAACGCTAGGGGGAACGAACTCAGGGCAGGATGCATCGACTCCGAATCGCCCATGGATCTCCGATATGGGGCTTGATAGCCCTCCCCGCCCAGGAACGCCCAGTTCGTATCTTCGATATATGTACATATGCACGTTCGCTTCAGGTCGATGTTCTCCCCCCTGTGCGAGTCCCCGCCTGTCGCTGCCCCTCAGCGGTGCACAGCTGCCTCTCACCGATCGATGCTCTGCACGGAGCCCGTGCTGCTGCCCCCGACTCCGGAGGCCACGCGGGGCAGGGGCCACGGGCAGAACACGTGGCTCCAGAGGGCATTCGTTTCGTTCTCTTATTCATTGTTTTGCCGGTCGACGCGGGCCCTCGCAACCCCCCCCCCACCTCCATGGAGTAGATCTTGGCTGCTTTTGGCGCCCGTTTTGAGCAGGTGGAGTCTCCCCCCATAGGGCGCACCTTGCCGCAAGCGGTCGCATCCAGCAGAGGTCTGGAGCCAGACCCCCCCCCACCCCCACCTTCCGCCCGATGTCGAAACGCCGAATGAGAAAACGTTCACAGGCCCGATTCCGGGCGTTGGCAGAACTGGGTTTAGTGGGACCTGGTTCAGTGATGTGAACTGGGGGACGCCCCCCCCCCCCCCGCCCCGCTCCACTGACGGGAACTGCCGGTTACCCCGAACAAAACACCAGCTAGGGCACACCTGGTTTAGTGATTCTGGCCATTTGGGGGGGGGCTCCGGGGGCCTCCTGCTGACGGGGTCCCCGTGCCCTGGGGTCTTGGCCATACCCCGACCGATCCGGCGGTCTCACCGGCGGGGGCGCGACCGTCGTGGCGCTGCGCGCGTCTCGCGGCTGGGGCGCCGGAGAGCCGCCCTGCTCCAGGGTGGCGGCGCAAAGGCAGCGTGCAGTCGGGCGCGTCCCTCTACAGGGGAGTATTCAAAAATAGTCAAAAGATAGTCTGAATATCGGCTCTGGCTGGCCCAATCCGATTCGAATCCGAGATTCCGATGACCCACTGCGGCCCGATGCTCGCATAGCGCTGCTTTGCATCCTGGCGCGGCCAACCGGTGCTGGTTTCGAGTCTGGGCCGATGCGGCCTTATCCGATGCTCGTTCCGATCCGGTTTCCCATGATTTCTCGAGTCGATGCTGGCTGATCCTGCCCCTCGCTTCCCCCTTTGGGCGCGCCGCCAAGCCTTTCCTCCAGCGCACGCACGGGCGCTCCGGATGTCCGGTTCTTCTTCGAAGGAGACCAAGCCACCCCGACGCTCAGAGATGCGGTCGCAAAGCAGTCCTGAGCGTTTTCGGAGCAGCTCCGCTCTGCTCGGGGTCCTTCCTCAGGTGCGTTTACTACGATGCTTCGCTTGCAGGTGCGCTTGTTATGAGGGTGGTTATTGTGCCTTCTATTCTTATATGGATCCACATCGCTACACTCTGCAAACCAGAGGAACCAATGAAAAAGGTCAGAAAATACTCCTGGCATAGGTTTCAGAGACATGCGTGGGAATCGTCCAAAAGCACTCGCCCCCCCCAAACAAAAACAAACAGAACAAATACGTGTGTCATCCTCCTCGTCTTGCACATGTTCGCCCACACCATTTTCTTATCATCATCTATTCCGAAGACGAAACTGCGCAAGCGAAGCGTTTGGAGGTCCGCGCGGATCGCTTGGGCCGGCGCCGGAGGACTCCCCTCCCCGGCGTGAGGAGCGCGCGCCGGGAGCGGCATTGGAG